CGGTTTTCGGTTCGGTTTCTCACAGTGTTCGAACTAAAATATTAATGTTCGCACTAAAATACTAATATAAATTTCTAGGCTGTCGGTTCATTAAATTTAATTGGAAAATGTTTTGAAAATAAAAATTCGGGTTGTTTCACATAAATATGAAATATGTATAAGTAAAATATTTATTTATGGAAAAATATGAAATTATTTGTTTATATTATCTGTATTTTTGATTATCTTTTTAAAAAATTATATTTTTGTTCGGTAAATTTCAGGGTTTTTGCTATATGGGGTACAATTTGGATTAATATTATTGTTTTTGACAATTCATATTGCATTTTTGCTACGTATTGTAATATGTGTAAAGTTCAAAGATCCACATAAAAAAAGAGTAAAGTTTCAGGGTGAAATTATGTTTTTGGCCAATAATTAAAATAAATTGATTTTAAGCATACTAAAATTAGTTTGTCGAGTGATTAATTTTCACAATACGATAACACAATCATTGATTACACATAATACCCTACAATTTGCATTGTTTGTCTTTAAGCATACAATCTTTTCATTGCACAAATTTTTTTTTTTTTTTTTTTTTTTTTTTTTGAAAGAGGAGTCAAATTTTGTTGATCATAAGAAAATGAAACTCTTATTTTTTTTTTTTTTTTTTTTTTTTTTTGAAAGAGAGTCAAATTTTGTTGATCATAAGAAAATGAAACTCTTATTCTTATTATCTAACTCTTAATACAAATCTTATCAAATATTCAAATTCAATTTAAATATAAATATATAATAAAAATTTGGAATTATTATAATTCAATAATAAAGACAATATCCTATAAATGCAAGTAATTGTTTGTTTTATTTCAACCAAGCGTTAAATCAAAGTCACTATCCAAATAAATAAAGTAGAAATATCCATTTATGTCTTTTAAAAAATAAAACAATACACCTATCCAAATATATAGAGGTTGCTTTCAAAATTCCCAATAATGATTCAATCACTCACACACCAAATATTTTTGCCTCAAAGCCTTTCAATAGCACACCACACATCCCATACCCACATGCTATCCTCCTTTTAGCCTTTTATTACTTAAGCTTCTCTCATTCTCTCCTTTTTGTTTTTCCATATCGAATGCCCAAATGGCCAAAAAAAATTTCATTCAAGCAAAATTTTTTTTCATTTTAATTTTATTTGGTTCACCTTCCAAATTTATGTCACAAACTACTACAAACACAATCCCTACCCAAACTTCAATACCTACTAATAATGTATGTCCCTATTCTTGTCAACCTCCTCCAATACCCACTATAAAATGCCCACCACCACCGTCACCACAACAGCCGCTGTTGCCCCCGCCGCCTCCGTCTTTGCTACCTCCTTCAATTGACTATCCACCACCCGGTTGGGACGTACCAAATGTCTTTCCTCAATTCCATGTACCACCTCCTCCTAACCCTATCTTGCCTTATTTTCCATGGTACTACAAATACCCTCCTCCACCGGAATATTCCCTAGCAATACGTTACAAAGGAAGGAATGTTAATCATCTCATCTTTGATTTTGGTATTATTTTTTACTTCATGGTTTTAATTTAATTAAGTGTAGCAACAAGCAATTTATTGTTCTTTCTTATGCATGATTATGTGCAATGTTGTATAAAGATTGTTGTATTTTTAATTTCTATAAATTAAAAAAAATAATTAGAATATGTTTTTTTTCCCCAAGAAATTTTCATTTTTCCCCTTTTTCTTTATATAGTGTGGTCTTGTTTTTTCTTTTTAAGTATTGGCAAAGAAAAGTGTTTTTAGTGGTTATGCATTTATGATTAATTTTTACAATTAATGACAATAAAATTGAATTTGCTTCAATAAATTAATTTTCATGCAAATCTAAAAATAAAAAACTTTAAGGAACTTGTCAACCGCCAACGTGAAATTAGTAATGTAAATTCAAATAATTCAAAAATAAAAAATTAATTTGGCTGTATAAAGAGATGTGGAGCACTCAACCACATAATTAATAATATTCAATTTTACACCGTTTAAGGTAAAAAAGAAAAGAAAAGAAAAGTTTCCTCTGGAAAAGTTTATAAAAGAAGTAAATGTTGAGTAAATAAGTAAATTTATGACTTTGTACTTGATAAAAGTACAAGATAAGCAGAGCTGAAATCTACTTATTTCTGAATTCTTAGTTTTGGATGGACCACTGTATGTATATACACATACACACATTCTATGCCACTCCCATATACTGATAACGATGAGGGATTATGAGGTTGAGAATCTGCTCACTAATTATTAATTGCGCCTACCATAATCTTGCTGGAAAAAAAAAAATTGCATTTTGGAATTTTTATAAACTTCTATCAAGGATTTTCTTTTTTATTTAAATGATTCCATCGAGGAAATAGTGGAATTTAAAATCAATATGATTAAATCATATGCAATAATGTTTAGGTGAACTTGATTTATGAGGTCAGAAATTTAAAACTTTATGGATTGTGGTAATAAATGTGCAAATTAAAATAATAAATGCAGTAAAAAATAAAAACAAAGGAGTCAAGTCGTTTTAACTCCCATTGAGTGGGCAACACCCCCATTGAATTCACGTGCTTCTTTTTTTTCTTTAAAGGAATATATGAATGAAGTTATAGTATTATTATTATTGATATTATTTTTTGAGAATGGTTATAGTATTAATTTTTCTTTTTTTTTTTTTTTAAATTTACTAAGGGGTCAATATTGGACAGAAATAATATATATATATAACCAAACTGATGAAAATTATTGTGATTGAAAGAATTCGAATTCAAAACCACTCCTCGCATAATAAAATGGAAACTTATATTTTTTTATTATTAATGATGGATTTTTTCTTTTCATTATTTGATTCTTTACTAAAAAATAAAAATAAAAATAAAAAATTGGCAATGCTAGAGTTTAAAACTTATTACTACCTCCATTTCAAAAAGATCGTTCACTTTTTATTTTCACGCAGATTAAGAAATATAGTTAAAAAATAATTTTATTCATATAATTTTACTATTATGCTCATCTTAAATAACACGCGTATTGTTAAAAAATAATTTTATTCATATAATTTTACTATTATGCTCATCTTAAATAACACGCGTATTGAAATAATAATTAATAATTAATAAATATTATTGAAAATAAAATAATTTAGTAGACAATTAAAAGATTAACCACAATGCGAAAAAAAGATGGACTCTCTTTTTGAAACGAAGTGAGTAATTAAATTTCTAAACATGTTCGCACATAATTGGTAGTTATTTATTTTTTGAAGGCCTAATAGCAAACAAAAACCCTCAACTTTAGTTTGTTTGTTTGCTTTGTTTCTAGTCAATTAACTTAATTTTACAATAGATAACTAATTGTAAAATCAAGATTAATTAACTGAAAAAAAAGCGAAGCAAATAAAACAAACTAAAATTCGTCTGATCGTAAAATTTCCAACCTACGTTCGACTATTGTCTGGACAAGCAAAACGCGTTTCTGAAGAGCTTCCAAATCCGCTTTTTGTGAATCTCTGATCAGATTCATCAATTCTTGATTCTCAGGATTAGCTTTCTTCAGTAATTCTTGATTCTCAAGATATGTAGGAGACACTTGAATCATCTCTTTCAAGCAACTCATGCAAAACAAATCCGAAATTTTCTTTCCACCACCAACGCCCCTGGCCACGTTCTTTTTATGCTGTTTTTTAAATCGCTGAAATGCTGGGATCACCGGATATTTCGAAGCAAAAGTACAATAATCAAAAGGCGTCATTATAAGTTCTCTCTTCTTCATTGTTAAAAGGGAGAGACAGACTAAGACTAAGAGTTAAGTTCAGAATATGTAAAGGAGAGAGAGAGAGATTGAGGATGGTGGTTCAACTCATCAACCACGTTATATATAGAGAGAGATTTATGATGCCCTATAACTATTGATTAGAGATTTTCCATAATAGGAATATACTAAATGAGAAATTAATATATATGATATTATTCTGATTCTTTATAATAATATTTGAGCAAGTTGACCTTTTTTTTTTCTTTTTTATTTCTTTAAATATCAAATCGGATCTGTTATTTACTGCTTTCCAAATCTTAACAAAATAGGAAATTTGTAATTTTTATTCTAATAATTGAGTGGAAAAATATACTATTTAGTTCTCTCTTCTTTTCTCTTCAATATTTGATTCTTTGTTCAAAAATAAAAAAAAAAAGATTGAAAATGCTTGAGTTTAAAATTTATTAATTAAAATTTTACAACGTATCCCTACATAATACAGTTGTGTTCACTTCTTTAAAAAGAAAAATCACGTCAGCTCATAATTTTTTTCCGCATTAGTGTGGTAAACAAATGCGCCCTCCATTTCAAAAAAATATTACACGTATTATTTTTACACAGACTAAAAAATAACAATTATTATGGTTAAAGGACAATTTTATTCGTATATCTTTCGTATTATGCCCATAAATAATTATAATATTGAAATAATAAGTGGGACTTAATGAGAATTATTGAAAATAATATAAAATTTAATACAAATATAATAAACAATTTAAGGATTTAACTATAATACAAAAAATGAAAATAAACTATATTTTGAAACAAACCAAAAAGAATTTAACCTAACCATGACGCATTTAGCCTAAAAAAATTCAAAAAATTACATTTGTTAATTTTTCCAGATTAGGTCAGATTTACAAGATTATCCATTCAAACCATGATTCAATTCAACCCGTGAACCATAAAGAATTTGACCCAACCAAGCCATTATGATTTCCAATCCATCAGATTGAATTTGGTTGGATCAGGTTGTTCGGACTGTGTGCATGCCTAGTCAGAGAAAATACAAGAGCGAGAGGAAAGTTTCACAGGATAAACAGTAAATTTGGCAAAAGTTGCATAATAAAGCAAAAAAAAAAAAAAAAAAAAAAAAAAAAAAAAATAATATAATAGAATAAAGGCCCGAAAAAAAAAAAAAAAAAAAATAATAATAATAGATAAAGGCCTAAAACATTATAATTTTCCCTTATTCAATTCAAAATATAGGAGTTTTGCTAATAAGTGGTCATTATATTTTTAAATGTAAAAACTAATATGATATACACCCATTACCAATAGCCTTTACATGATTTGTTATTCCTTCTCCTTCCTAAAGTAAAGTGTATGTGCACAGACTCCTTTTTTATTTATCCAATTCCTTGATCGTTTGTCTACTCCACATTGCAGTATTGGGGTCAAATCTCAATTCCCATGTAGGCCAGTAATGCAGATCTTGCTTCAATGTCAACACTCGAGGCTTCCCATTAAGGTGGACAGTTCTTACTCTGACGAACTCACCATGCCCCAATTCCTGATAAGTTTTAATACTACCATTAGCAAAAACTATGCGTTATCACAACTCAACATTTAACTAATAAAGATATTACCTTTGTCACATTAATAAAAGCATCTAAATCAGGTGTTGGTTTTCCATTAATTTCAACAATCCATTGAAGAGCATATAGACAATATCTGTGTACAGGGCTTCCATGACACCACCTAAAACCCAAGAACAAAAAAACGAATCATTGGCTGAAATTTTACAACACAAATCATTAAATAAAAGTTGCTCGGTGGTCAGGGCTGATTTAAAAAAGAACAAGCTATTATTGGCCAGGACTGAAGGTTATTTGGAAAGATACTACTTTATATATGCTCTGGGAATCTGGGAACTAATGAAGCTTTGCCACACCCAGTTTAGAGGTGGATAAGCTAGCACGTTAATGCTTCAAGGAAAAACTCAATACAGGAAACAGTATAATTCCTGTCGGTCACAGGAACTCTGTTCTCATGGCTATTTCAAATTAAAGAAAGTTACAATATTTTGCAAACTCAAGCAAAAGCCTTACCTAGCCACGTATACACCATGACCTTCTTCAGGAAGAAATCCAAGAGCACGGACTGCTGGATGAGGATCCTGAACAATGCAACCACACCAATTTATTACACGTGTTGTACCATTCCCATCCCTAACATCTGTTCCTACAAGAAGATCAATTTCACGTCCCTGGAAACACAAAGAACATGTTCACATCATTTACCTTTATAAGCAAATGAGAGCAGAAAAATTGAAGAATACATAGCATACAGTTTCTTGCCTGTCGAAAAATGGTCATGTTAAGATTCCCTTCATGGCCACCACTCTCATCTAAAGCTTGGCAAGCATTTTCTATGTCTCGGAAGCAAGTAACAGGCTCTTTGTTGACTGCCAAAACCATATCCCCTTGTTCTAATAGGTTTTCAGCTTTTGATCCAGCCAAACATCCTTTAACACGTAAAACTTGTCGTCTAATTGGATCTTTCTTGACAAGAGCCTAGAAGACATATTAAACTAGTCAATTGACAACTTCGAGAAGCTAGCCATTTCCTATACTTGAATAAATATATAAATTAGGTATGACAATAGGTCGGGTGCGGGGCAGGTTTTCTTATAGCTGTATCTACCCGCAAGATTAAATATATACTCGCCCACTCACCCCAACATCTGCTCCGTATCAGAGTGGATTAGGTTTGGAGTGGGTTCTATTCTAAAAAAAATTAAAGAAAAAAAAAACATAGGCTTAGCTTAAAAGTAAACAAAAGGGACGCTCAATGAGAGGATCGGGTTTTTTTTTTTTAAAGCCAAATTTAAATGGATCCGGTTTTGCCATCCCTCAAATAAGTGAAGTTCAAAAATAGGTTGATGGTAACTTATCTATGAAGTTCAAAAATAGGTTGATGGTATCTTATCTAAGAATCAATGCAGTATCTAGACTAACAAAATGATAAAGCTTGAAATTCTGTAAATTTACTGAGTGAAATATATTGGTTATTATCAAGTTAGTCACAAATGTCAGGTTAGCCAAAGGGCATAGAAGAAATTGCAAAGATAAGAGACATTCAGTTGACAAACGATAAAAACTATCAAATTCCACAAATCTATGCACCATAAATGTCATATTAAATCTAGATAGAACATGAGTATTAATTTCAATTACTCGGCTTTAACCATATAAAAAATTTATGTTTTAGGATAACTTAATAGCCGATATCAAAATATTGTTCACTGAAATCCTGTGAATGCTACATTTTGACAAAGTACTTAAATGAGAAAATGAGAAAATTAGAAAGATTGTTTTCTCTTACATCTTCAGAAATTCAAATGGAAAAAAATTGATGTTTCCCAAGAAAGAGAGCATATTAGTTGTACAGAAAAACATATACCTGGACCCAATCATCACTCAAACCAAAACTCCTAGCCTTTGAAAGCAAAGTAGGATAAAGCTCAACCTCCAAAATCCTGACAAGTGGCATTGGCCTTCTGACACCATTAATGAGAAGAGGTAGTCCATTTGCACCACGTACAATTTTGTCAAGAACTTGGCTGATTTTATAAATAGGGATGCCTCTAACAAATTGATGATCTTCTGAGGTATTGCAACCGTATTTCAACTGGAATAAAAACCAAAGCATCATAACGTCACGATCTCAGAATAGACATGGGTAATGGCAACTAACTAATAGCTATACCTGAGTTGAAAAGCTTCCCCAGATTGCTTGAACCCTTCCATGCTCATCAGTTAGCACTCCCGAAAATGTGCTCCCAAAGTCTGGAAGATGCCATTAGAGTAGAAGATTTAAAACACAAGATCAAAGCTCAATTTTGGTTCATTATGATGTAATTCCTTACCAGTATCAAGTTCTATGACTTCCATATTTGTTGCTCTATAACGAGGACAATCAGCTGAGCCAATATTCAAAGCAGCACAAGGGTTGGTAACAATCGATTTTCTTGATGTTGCTTGTAGGCTTCTACTTAAACCCACAAGATAGACCGAATCCCCACGACGTAATGTCGGCTCTATCCAAGAACATAAATATCAGTCCTTAAAAGCAAGCATTTCCAAAGAAAGAAGACACAAGTGTACTCAGAAATGAATTCATAGGAAGGAATAACAAAAAATTCCACTTGAAAAACAAATTTTGCTAACCAACTGAACCAAAGATGTCCTGATTAAGAATTGGGGATAAAAATTTGAACCAAGCAAAAATAGAGAACATCAGAATCTAAGTCATATAGTACACACTTAAAACATAAAGACAACTTTAGCGCTGAAAATACAGAAAGCTGTATAGGTGAACCTACCAGGAAGCAATTCAGCAGCTCGAACCATTGAGGCACCAACAGCTCCAAGGGCCGAGGGGTCATAAGCAATAAGAGCAAAATTATGAACGGGATGAAGAAAAACCACCTGGAGTGGTACACACGAATCAGTCAAAACAATATGCTTTCATTCAGTATCACTTGCTAGTAAAGAATTTACCTCCCCTGGAATTTCAATTGGAAATGCAGCAAATGACAGCATCACATCTGATGCGGATATTGCAACCGTATTCCTATCAACTGCAACCAATCCCATATCTTGAGAATGATAAATAACAACACCAGTACCAAAAAAATGTTGTGAATGGACACCATCAAGCATAATTGATGGTGGAACATGAACCTGCAGTTATACATGTCAACAAGTCATGTTAGATATTATTTTTTTTACAAGTAAATAAGATCTCATAAGGCAGACAGAATAGAAAACTTTGAAGGACTCATGCTAGTTTTGCTAATATAGCAAAAAGAATACCTAAATAAAATGGTAACAGAAAATAGTGCCTTTTAAACCTCTAACACAATATACTGAAGATAGATTGGCGCTTCAGGAATCAGAACACAAACTAAGAGAGGAGCTATTTTGCAGAAATGCCATTGTATATAAAGTCTATTAGATGGAAACATATAATGGCATGCTTATGTTTGGTAATAACATCTAAACCAATGTGAAGTAAAGATGATCAGATTCCACTAGTACTATTTTTACTATCAAATATTGTGAATGCAACAAGAACTACAAGGTTACTTTCACACTGAAACATACTCAATGGAGCAGAGGACATTCAAAAACATATAAGCTGAAAAGGAACAGGAGGGATGAAAAAATTCATTTGTAACGTAAGGTTAAGCCATTTTTCTAAGCCTACTGCTTCACCAGCTTAATCAGTACAAGAAAATAAAGGAGCCATATTGGTTAAAAAAATATTTAAATAATGAAAACATGTGATAGACTAACAAGGAAACAAAAACAAGAGTCATATCACAAGAAATCAACTCAACTAACAAAAGAGATTGGTTGATTGCAGACAATAATAACATAGATTGGATCAAGTTTTACCTCAAACATTACAAGAGTGGGTTCTATCACACTCTCTGCAAGTGATGCATTAGCTGCTGCTGCCGTTGCACCTTGATAGTCTCTTAAAACTTCATCTTCCACGGTCCTTGGATTATCCAACCTCACTTCTGTACTTTCAATCTGTAAGGAAGAGTCAGCAACAGCAATTCCATTGGCAGATAAATCTGATACCCTCCGCTTCTTTGTTCCTACATCAGATTCATCCCGAGAATGTGGTTCCACAGAAGAATGTTCAAAACTGGTTTCCATACTGGTAACACCGTCAGTCAATTCTGGGTTATCACCTTGATTTACATGTTCCATATGAGTTGCCCCTCCACTCAGCAAAATAGTTTGGCTAGTTGGGCCCTGTGCCATATCATTAGCATGAGATGAAACTTGCAGTGACTCAAGTTGAAAGGCAGGCTTTGCCGTCCACAAACCAGAACTGTCATCACGAGTGTATATCTGTGGAGGGGCATACCATTCATGGCGATCGACTGTAACAAGGACAGACTGCATCACAGGAACCAACAAATTTAAACCAATATCCTCATACTTAGTGTCACTCCACACAGACTGATATTCTTGTGAAGAGACTTCACTATTTACTCAACAGCCCAAAGCTCATTTTTAATTACAATCAATAACACTCACATTGCATGCATTTGGCCATTCAAAGCAAGGTGAGGAAGAGCAGCAACTTGTTAAGTTACTGAATTGCTCTACAATTTCCCTTAATTAAAAACTGGAACAACGTTATCTACCTAAATCCAAAAGGGTAAATAGATAGCTATCTCATACCTTACTTCGATAACGATCTGTGTAGCTAACATATTCTAATGGAACTCTAGCACCCCTGGACAGCTTAGAGAGAACAGAAATTAGTTCATCAAGCCGTGATATCTCCTCACCAGCAAACTTCTTAATGATTGCATGGCGAGGAACTCCAGCTCGAAATAGCATATATCTGCAACAAGCAAATGAAACAATATTGTTTAAAAGGGCGTTTGTAATATTTCCATGAGGTGTTGTGAGATTAGTCATTATTGCTTCAGTTCACTGTAATTATTGACATTAAACATCTACAAGTATGGTCAAAAGACTGAATATTGATGAATAAACACAAGCTACTCTAACTTAAGCCAGCTAATAGAAGGCCTACCAACTTTCTTAAACTTCATAGAAAAATTTTAATTTCCATTGGATCATTGATCAGAATTGCTGGCAATGCATTCAGTTCAGATATCAGATTATGATTGAAATCTTTCTTTTTGTGGTTAACATAAATAAAGAGTAATCACAAATAAAAAATGCAAAAGTAATGCGTTTAATATACAGAAGTAAACAGATGTGATACAAGCAGAATATCAGCATGAATTTAATAAAACCTACCCAGGTTCCGCAACGTACACCAGGCCGCATTGGAAACGAAAATTTCTAGCCTGTTTGAAACAAAAGGTAAAATTTCAAGATGTTGACAATAATAAGATAGATAAGACTGCAAATCAATCCCAGGCAAATCTGACTCTACACAGTACACTCTAGTTAAGTTCAAAGGAAGAGTGAATTAACCAAGTCAAGGAAAAGGAATCACTTATAGAAAAGAATATGCTCCAAGTAAGGTAGCAAGATCAAAGATGATGCTACTTAAAATGTACAACAGAAAAATGTCAGTAGAATTTATGGTATGTTCTACAGACCATGTAGAATAATACTCCAAAAAATATGGAAGGCAGATACGCGGCACACTATGTTAACTACATGAAATACATCAGCTGCCCAACTGGTCAGCAACAAACTGAGCGCTTCAATATTATACATCCAAACTTGCTCAACCCTATGATAAATTGAGTGAAACGGAGAATCCAATATGTGATAAAGAAAAATATTACAGAGAAGGCTGCAAAATTCGACATACCTGTTGGTAAGACAAAGGGTGTATCACAGCACCGCTTACTTCTAAGAAATAGTCAGGAGTTATTGAATGCAAATCCTGAACCTGAAGCATAAATAGGTTAAAAACTGTTACATAAGAAAAGATATGAGATCACAGCTTAAGGACAAAAGAGCATAATAACAAACCAGCAAAGGCCACCACAAAAGAACAGACATTCTAAAACAAACATGCACATATTCTTTTGCAGGACCTTTACTGCAACACTAATGAGAAATGAGTTTACAATCAATAGCCCCATTTCAGAAATTCATGCATGCTGAAATGTCAAAGGCAAATTTGGATCGTACGCACGCAAACAGATAGATATTTAATATGGTAAACAAGGAAACGTGCAGAAAAACCAGCAATTGATTGTGAAAGAAATTATCTGTCAAAACAATAAACATTCACTAAATTGCCAATCTCCATTTGGAATGGCCTTTTAATGTTGTAAGCTTATCTGCTCCATTTTTGGCACAAATTGACAACTGTTTTAAAGGCCCACAGAAAGCACACTTTCTAGTAATTCATTGTGCTAACAAGAAAGTAATCAACACAGCAGTTCTATCATTAACTGAATTACTTAATGCTCTCTAGTTTGTCCATTATAATAGATTCTGACATCATATCCAGAAAACTAGGGTTTTTCTTGCAAGTTTTGCTGAATTGATGAATCTGCACATCCATTAAACGTGATGCTGCACCAGGATCAAGCAAATATGAAGTTGGTAGAATTCAAATTTTGACCAATCAACTTATTCAAACATTCTCCTATGAAAAATGAAGAATCAACAAATGTTCGTAACAAATATCAAGAATTTAAAGAGAAAGAAGAATAAGGAGAAAATATGTTAGCCGGAGCCAAGAATAAGTCTTACCACCAAATTGACGGTCAAGGAAGTGCCACCCCTTTCAATCTGTAACTCAATCTTCTGGTCAACATAGTCATCAAGCAAACTCTCCAGCTTAAGAAATTGTGTAGTTACCTGCCATAAGATAAAATTATATTACAGGACGACATGCCAGAAAGAGAGCAAAAATCAAATGTTTGTTAAAGCCTAAGAGGCACAAAAGATAGATAGAGAGAGCGAGAGAGAGAGAGAGAGAGAGAGAGAAGTAGAAATGAAGGAGAGCATCAATTTCAGTTCGTAATCTTTAATAATGATAGCAATTAATAATAAAAAAATAACTCCAGCAATTAAAATACCTAAACTCATCTAGAAAAACATAATTGCAATAAAGCATTGAGTTCCATGTGATTAAATCCATGACTTACTTCACCATTCACTCGAACAAGCACATCACCTGGCTCCAACTGTGTATGAGCGGGGCCACCTGGTACCTGAAAAAAGTGGCAACATTATCTACACTTTCCTTCTATTCTTTTGCTTCAAGAATTTAGGCAATATCTTCACTCACCACAGAGTCAACTACGAGCATTCCAGTTTCCCCTGGTGGAGATGCATGCCGTACCATCTAAAGCAGTCAAAAGAACAATAAGGTACCCATGAACCACTAACCTTCATAGCTTTTATCCATTTCAACAAAAGAATAAAGAAATACTTAAGAACTAGATACCTGCTCAGTTTCACTTTGGAGACCAAGTCGGCGTATCTCATCAAATCCTTTGTGGAGAAATGTCACCTAGACAACAAAAAAATCAATGCTAAATCATAAAATGATAATCCCTCTATCATTATGTAGAAGTACTTGCATGGCATCAACAACCACCATCTGGTTATCACAAAATGTTCACTTTAGCTTAAACATTTCATTTAACATAATAAAGCAATTGTCCTAAAGTACTTCGCCCCTCATCATCCTAGGTCTACCCCTCATTTATTCTACTCACAACTTTGATATGTTTAACTTCCCAACCAGCATTAATCAGCCAATGATAGACATCCAAACCATCTCCGTTGATTCTCTAATTGGATGTGCATCATAGCCTTCCCATAAATGAACTCATTTCTTATCCAATCCTTTCTGAACTTCCAAACATCCTTACTAGTTAAGCTCAACTCTGCCATACTAGGCTTGTGGACATATCATTTCTTCTCTTCCCAAAACTCGATATTGTGCGTAACAGCCAGTCAAATTGTAATAGTATAGACCTTCTCATTCGACGGCTTTAAATTTCTTTATCAATCCATCCTACTTAAATAGTTATTTCAATTATTTATGTTTGATTATATTCTTTATGTATAGTTAATTCATATAGAATAGGTAAATTAATGATATATGTATTCATAATACTAATATGCATATGCATATGCATAGTTATAAGTCTAATATCTAAATCATATTTTTTTATGTACATAAAACGTCTTACTCCACATAAGTCATTATGTAATTAATGACTAAATTATTTACATATAAGGAATTACATAGTTCAACTCAAATATTATATATGAGGAATTACATAATCACTATTCAAAATATTTGTATTTCACCGATTATAAATATAACTATTATTAAAAAAATTAAAATATAACTTTTATGTGCCATAATATTAACAAAGTTATTTAGAGAAGCTTAATAGTAAGTGGTTTTAATATCTCGAAGAGGTCATGGGTTTAAATCTCACCTCCACCGAAAATTAAAATTTTTTAAGCCTTAAACGAGTATCATATAGCGGGTACCCAGACCGCTGAACCTGTCACGCATAGTGAATTTACTAACCAAACCTGTTCATCAACTACCCAACCCAAGGTACTCCATCTCTCGAAGGAGTAATAGGATTAACAAAGTTTTATATGCTTGAACTCATTTCCTGGACAAATATCATTACCACACTAGAATAGAATATCTATATCATTAAATTACATTTAGTGGTTCTGTCAACTTGCAACTCTCATATTCCATGCAAATCATTTAAGCTTCATCACAAGGAATTTCTCAAAAGTTCAGAGATGTTAGGTATCCCATATTTGCAAGTAATCCTGTAATGATATAGTAAACTATTCCCACATCAAGTAGTCATGCATGACCAAAAGTTAGGGACTTTTTTTTTTTGGCTTCTATCAAGCGTGTAAAGCATGATTTGTCCATTCTTCTTTTAGGATTTATAAGGAGATGCATTCCCTATCTAAGGGTCCAAAAAATAATGCAGTAAAATGTTGGGATTAGGAGCAGCAGCAAGCCAGTGAACAGAGTTTAATGAAGGTAGTTCCCTTTGACCAAGACTGTGCATATTTTCTCAGAGGCACAAGAAATGTGCAGACAAATAAAGACGCCAATTATATTTAGTTTTTCTTTATAGTTTTCTCTTGTTTCTTTTATGGGTAGCTTAGAATAAGGAATTAGTTTTCCTTTTTGTGTAGTTAACATTAGTTTTGTTCATGTCCTTTGTATTTAATTTGGATTTCCCTAAAGTGCCACTACCTGGTATAAAAGAATCCCTCTAGCATACTAACTAGAAAACGAAATCAGTATTCCTCTAAAAGGAAAGGTGTTTTTTGTTTCTTTCCTCTAAAGGTGGTGGTTTTGTTCGTTGTACTCTAATAAGCTCTTATTTCCAGAAATTCAAAATAGCTTACAAGGAAAAGAACCCCATAATAAGTAGCAATATGACCCTCAATTTGATTTTCCATTAAATCTGTCTATATCTAGATCCACAATTCGCAATGTAAGATACTTACATTATAAGGCCAAACGGCCCAAACCAGCCCTAAAAAGAATAAAATATGTTTAAAAGTAGCACAGTGCAGATACCAGTTTTACATGAATAATAAAAAGAAAGTTTTATAATTCATATGACTGCTGCAAAATATTTCACTTTAAACAGGGACAGGAAGAAAAGAGATGTGCTGACTTTCAGCAAATTGCAAGAGTTATATAGTGGAAGTATCAATTTCTATTGACATAAATTAGCAATAAAAGAAATCATGCCCAACCTGCAGACAGATGTTCAACCTTTTGGTTTGCAAGATTTTACTTTTGGAAATGTTAAAGGTAAAGTATATTTGACCAAAAACTCTACAAGGATAACATCAACAACAAACCTGAAGCGTACCACGAGGTATAGTTACAGCTGCCCATTTATTTGCATAAGAATCTCTCCCCTTCTGCAGAAATCTTAGAGCCCTTACAACCTGCAAATCAAATGACATTGTAAATTTGAGAAGAGATCCAATCAGGTGTGTGTAAAAAGCTTTGATTTCCCATCTGTTCTTTAATAGGATAGCCAATTCCACAATCTTTTTAAATTTTAGGTTATCCTAAATTATACTGGGCTGCTGCTATCAGCTATTCCCTTTACCAGCTAGGGTACCAGGCAGTTTGCTTAGTTAGTTTTTCAACAACATGAATGCATAATGCCACCAGCTGATAAATTTCAAGTACCGATCCTTAAACTAACTCAAAAATTCAATAATAATTGAAAGGGAAACAATGCAGCTACCAGAATCCATTTGAAACTCAAAGGAGTAAACCATGACTTTGGCCAAGGATTGTCATAGTTTTGGCATCTACTTGTCTGCGCAACAACAATGACAACAATAACTAAGCCTTTGTCCCAAACTAGTAGGGATCAGCTATATGAATCCGTTGTTTCCAATATCCGCTCTGATCAAACTAATAGTAGTGCAAATTATAAAGAGGAAAAGAATTTGAAATACTTTTTGCGGGAAAGAAATTTTTGAAACAGGAACTTTTAGATCATTTGTTATTAATAAATAGAAACATAAGACAGCCAATGACAACTAACTAAGGTCTGCTATATGAATCTTCCTGTCTTTCAAGCCACTTACACATGGTCGAGAGTGCTCATACTTCACTACAACTAATTAAATAATTCAAATTAATCGATTCATGATGCAGAATCCAGTTGTAACTTCTCATCTTTACAGCAGCAAGGCTTGTGTTTTCTTGTGCACTCTTTGTACTCTTCTGATATATTCTAGACTATATTCTTTTTATGCCTTCAGCCTTTTTTCCACAAAAAAAAAAAAAAAAAAAAAAAAAAAAAAAAAAAAAAAAAAAAAAGAATATTCTAGACTATATTCCTTTTTATTGCCTTCAGCCTTTTTTTTCCCAAAAAAAAAAAAAAAAAAAAAAAAAAAAAAAAAAAAAAAAGAAAAAAAGAAAAATTCAACCAAAAGATCGAACTAGCTGCTGGATATAAATGTATCTTATTTTGGCAGCTAAAAAGTAAGGTTTCTGTCTTGAATACCCCTTTCAGATACAAAACAAATATTAACAAATCAACAGAAAATAAAAGTAATATGCATGGTTATGAAAATCGTTTTTTCACCTAGGATCAAAGAGAGAGATGTTGATAAAACCAAATGTAAACTAGGATCATAAAGGTTTTAGATATCATAAACAATACTCCCTCTGTCCCATTTTGTTCGCTTGTTATTCCTTTTTGGAATGTCCCAAAATGTTTGCAAGGTTTCCAAATTTATATATTTTAACAATTATTTTTCCAATAATAACCTTAATGATTGTTCATCAAATGAATAACTTTTATTAATATCTTAATGAGTTAAAGATAAAAAAAAAGGCAAAATAATTTTTATTAACTAAATTCTTGATATGCGTGTTTTATCAAGCCATGTAAACAAAATGGGACGGAAAGAATAATATTTTAATAAAATGACATTTAAAAAATAAAATATAGTTAAGATATTAAGAACAAAAAATAGTAACATCATAAAATTGTTCAATGATTTTAACCTTTTTCAGGCAATATTATGCGATTTTATCCATATTTGATTTTAGGTACATGTCAATTGATTCTTTGATTTTGACTTGTAAACTCACAAATCATGCAATTTAACTCGCGATTTTGACAATTACGGATGCATGGGTTTAAACATGCAGAGAAAAACAGGCCTAATATGAGGAGCATACATATCAGACTTTCATGATATGTTACTATGAAGAGGCACACATAAGACAGAAACCACAACACAACTTAGGGCACTTGATGTGAGCTTCCTGTTCTTAAGACTTCTATAAAACAAAGGTCAGTATCTAAAGTTAATATACTAACGCATTAAAGTTATTAATCAATTACAGCACCTTCAACATGCCCATTTCAAAAGTGCAAAGCCAAAGCCTAACATGTGATCAATCCTTGGCCTAAGGTGCGTTCACTTGGGCACACCCCATGACTACATTAATCACTAAACATAAAAAAGATGCTCCTCAAGTGTATAACTTAGATATGATAAATAAACCTAAAGGTTTCATGCCATTGAGGAACTTGGCGAGTGAGATGAAGAAGAAGACAACCTAAACATTTCCTTACATCATTGTGGAAGTTGATGACAGCCAAAGAGTAACCCCAAAATGACTTTCTCGACTCCACCAATCCAGGTAGTACGTTGTGGCTCTGCATGGTTAGCCCTCCCCATTTCTAAATATCTATTTTAACTTCCCTCAGCAATTTTCTCCTTCACCTTGCTTCACAGCAATTTTTTCTCTTATTGTGTTGAAAATATTTTGGTCACAACTAATTCACAACCTTAGACACTCTAGTTACACCTTTTTTATGGCATTCCAAGTATCTAGTAAATTGTAAATAATAGAACACTCACACGTTCTAAAGGTAAGAAAAATGCAGAAGCACTAGAAGACTTGCTGCCAGCGTTCAAGGCCACTGCCCTGCCTTGCCAATCAATCACTGGGGAGCCACTCGAACCACCTTTAGTACCAGATGCAGCCTAAATATAAGAAAAACAAAAGTCAAAACAACAAGGAGTAGCAAGATGCATGCAACGTGCCAAAGTAATATACCACAAATTAACAACGAGCACATGCTCCACAGAAGCAACAGAAGGTTTCTCAGCATAAATATATTCAACAAAATTAGAGAAAGATATGACATTTAATTTGGAATCCCAAAAGCAGTCTAATGAAAATATTTAACCTATTCACAACGAATTTATGTAGCTAAGCTAATTAACTAGTTTCTTAAACTCCTAACATTTCAAAGCATTTAGATATTAAAAAAATTTACCAAAATGACCAAAACCATTCGGTCATCACAAATATTATACCATGGCCTCATATATATATATTGCAATCCTACAGAAAAATAACAGGTTATTGTGGTTCACACCCCCAACACCCATGAGGTACCCTAGTTGAGAAAGTCAAGTCAAAAATGGCAACATGTAAAAACAACAAAATAATTGGTGACCCACTTATTGAACTAATTGAAATTATATATCTGCAACGGGTAGAACTAGTATGCAAAATTGAGCTACTTACTTGCATGTAGAATGTATTGAAGTCATTATACCCATCCCTACACCAAAAGACATTCATGGTTAACAGAGTTCTAGAAAGACAATAATAGAATTGCATCAATAAAAATAATGTGCTTGGTTTGACTATCAGGGTTATATGGCACAATAATATGGACATAAATACCAAAAGGACTGCTATATAATTACATCTGGGCAACTATCGTATGTTTTTGCAAGACAAATGCCAATTCACTTGTTATCCATCCATCCCTTTTCCATCTATGACTCATGAGATATTGTCAATAGATTAAATTATAAAAGTAATTTTAAGTTACATATTATTCATAACAAATATGATCCACTATATTATGCCAGTTAAAGGAAATAGTCAGAACTTTGTTTTAAACCATCCTCCATTTAAACCATTCTCTAGATCATTTTTAAATCAAAGACGCAATATATTTGGGTAGATATCATTAACTCATCCCATATTCTCTTCCAATCTAATATATTATGCCAGTTAAAGGAAATAGTCAGTAGATCATTTTTAAATCAAAGACGCAATATATTTGGGTAGATATCATTAACTCATCCCATATTCTCTTCCAATCTAATATATTATGCCAGTTAAAGGAAATAGTCAGAACTTTGTTTTAAACCATCCTCCATTTAAACCATTCTCTAGATCATTTTTAAATCAAAGACGCAATATATTTGGGTAGATATCATTAACTCATCCCATATTCTCTTCCAATCTAATATATTATGCCAGTTAAAGGAAATAGTCAGAACTTTGTTTTGGTTCCACCTCATACTTCATGTAAACCATCCTCTAGATCATTTTCAAATCAAAGATGCAATATATTTGGGTAGATATCAGTAGCTCATCCCATATTCTCTTCCATCAAATTAAAAGAAGAAACAATGAATAAGAACTTGCAGGCTAAAAGAAAACCAAAAATAATAATGAGAATGAGAGTACTATGCGTGCAATAATCATGGAAGGAATCAAGTTCAAACTTCAAAACAATTCATTTTATTTATTATTGCAAATTTGCATTGTCCTACAATGAAGGGGACATTCAAAGACAATATTTTCAAATGTATCACATACTTTTTGTAATGCGGAGCATCCCTATCCAGACGAGCAAGAGTACCAGCCAAAATAGAAACCTGAAATTCAGCAAACCAACAAAGGAATATCAATAGTGAAAAAAATTGTGAGTTCTCCAAGTATGTAATGCCTTCACTTGTTTGATGCTTGCACAATTGAATTTTTTTTCTTAAAGAACTACCGGCATGGATTACTTTCCCTCTATATGCATTTCTATGCCCTCTCAATTTATTTAACACTTTGTTTGGAAAAAAACCAAGAGGGGGGAGAAAAGGAAGGGGGTGAAGATAGAGAGATCCAAAAGCGTGTGAGTGGAAATTGCTATCCCCTCTAGTTTTGGAAAACAAGGTGAAAAGAGGAGGGAAAAAAGGAAAAATTAATTTTTTAGTGTCCAAATTATTATATTGCCCTTCACTTATAAAAGGTAATTACAGGGCTAAAATTGTAAATCCATTAATTTTCAGCTCATTTTCACCCCAATTTGGGGTGATAGATTGAGGTGGACCCAAGAGGCTAAAAACCCCTAAAACTCTTCTCCCCCCTCACTTTCACTAGTTTCCAAACAAGTAAACGAGAATATTCCATTATCTCGTCCCACCCTTCCTTCCCTACCCTCACATCCCCCCTTTCCAAACAGAGTGTAAGAGTACACATGCATATTTAAAAGCTAGCCTAAGTTTTATAAACTGCAATTTTTTCTCAAGAGAATGTTTGGCATTGAAATAACTAGTTCAACTTTTCTCCTGAGATCTCAAACACGTGTCTTGATTTGTTTAATAGTGAAGTAATTCGATTTTATAGTCAGTTCTCTTTCATGTATTTTGGACATTATTCTGTAAGTAACATGGGTTCTCTGATTGCAATTTTGAATTGTGTTTGGATCCAGAACTTTCAAATTGTAAAAAAGTACTTAAATTCTTCAACCTCTCTAAATGGACAAATAAAATGTAAATTTAGAAAACCTTTCAACAGTAGAAAAAAAAAAAAAAAAAAAACAACCTTTTCCCACAGTTAGATAAAAAAAATGAAAAAAAAAAAACCAATCTTTGATTAGTAATAAGAAAAAAAAAAAAAAAAAAAAAAACCATCTTAAGAATAGAAAAGAACTTCATGAGGAAATACCTTTTCACCACTATCATTACCGACGACCCTGATATCAAGTCCAACACAAGCTGCCTCAGGAGCAAGAGGAATCTCCTCATAGGTTAAAAATTGAATTGCACTAGGATCATATTGAAAGAAGCCAAAATCATGAACCTGAGATACATGGAAAATGTTAAAACCACACCAAGACGAAAGATATACACATTAATGAGATTTACCCAAAAATAATTATAAATCCAAATTCGTTCTAGAACCACCCTTGACCTTTTATAAGAGATGCAATGGAAAAGCATACTTTATTGTACAAATAAACAAATATTAAGCCAAAAGAATAAGGATTAAAGCTTGAAGGATAAGTATCATCCTAAACTAAGCAAAACACATGGAAACAATTAATACATAACCTCCAATCATTCTTAATAGCACCTAAAGACACTTCTTCAAGAGCCCACAAATAAGTTAAGAAAACCATCTTCCCCACAATACATTAAAACACAAAAATGGCCCACATTACTCCCAAAAAAAGCATAATCTGCAGGAATTCAGCACCCCTTCTAACACCAAATTCTCCCCATTTAATCTGACAAACATCTCTAAAGCATCAGCACCTTAGTTATTTGGTTTTATTTCTTTAATCCATTTCGATGTACAAGTTAAAAGCGGTTTTTTTTTTTTTTTTTTTTTACGATGTATACAAGTTAAGCGGGCTTTTTATTGTCTTTTTTTCTTGTTGTGCTTTCAACTTCGTCTTTTTTTTTTTTTTTTTTTTGGCTCAACTTCTTCTTCCTATCACCAAATCCTCCCCATCTCACAAATGAGGTTTCAAAATGAATCAGACAACAATTGATGGAGTTGCACTTGTGAAAGTAGATATTAAATCAAGGATTGTTGGCCACCATAGTAATCCCTAGTTATCAGTCTCTTATTTTTAACTTCTTGAACTCATTTTAGCATATAAAAATCTCATAACGTTTTTAAGTTTCTAAATTCAACTAGTTTGGGATTAAGGCTTTATTGTGGAGATTGTTGCTTTAAAGTTTTTCATTCTGGGGAAAGTATCATGCATATTTGAAACCACAATGAAAAACTGAAAAATGATCACAAAAAATTCATGAAAACAACTTTAAAAAAAAAAAATTCTACTTACAGGATCTCTATACACAGGATGTACTGGAATTTCTTCATGGTTTAGGAACATTGCCTCTGCGACTACAGGTCCTACAAATCAAAAATAAAAAGTAAATTAAGTACTTACAAAAAAATGAGGGTTAGTGAGGTTAATAAATTTTTAACAAAAAGAAAATAGGCTCCATGTTACATAGCCACCATTCATTTGCTTGCTGAGACATCCAAGAAATATGAAGTACAGTAATCCTTCACAACTTGCTTCTATTGTCTATGCTTGGGAGAATTCTTGCCTATTCTGGGTGTATGTGACCCATGAGGTGGGTCCCATCCATCACAAGTTTAACCCACCTAAAGTAAGATGGGTGTAGATAAATCCAGCCTAGGCAAGAAATGTCCCTATGTGCTTGATTATTCACATAAAGTGAACATAGCATTACACATACAAAAGGTGTATTCATCAATTGTTATTTATTCTCAAAAAAACAGAATGCCTATCCTATCAAGGCCAGCTCTTGAATAAAATGCCTGTAGTACATTTTGCAAAAATAGAATAAATAAAACATGAGAAGAAATCCAAAGAACAATCCATAGACAAATTATCAAATCTGTAAAGCAGCTAAAACCGAGTCTAGATATTGGCTAAGTTTCAAACTCCGATTAGAGAAGTGGATCCTTCCTATAAGCACGTAGCTACTGGCTGAGCCTCTAATTTGCGTTTGCGTCTATTCTGAAGACTTGGCTGAAGCAGTCACTGAACAGGAAGTGAGATGATGACAATGCGGCTGGGACAACATAATCGCTTCAAATTGCATCCACATATATATGCACACATATACCTATGCATCCATGTATGGATTTCCAAATACATGCAGCATGTATTTTCTTTTACCACAAAAAAAAATATTGTTTCCTGTTCTAGCCATGTCATGCCACAGGTAATTGAAAGTTCTCATGACATAATAGCAAAAAACATACCTTGTTCTCTGTCTCAGCATACCAAAATTTCCAAGATTAAAAACCTTGAACCCTTCTTTAGAATGTAAAACCTAACTATTCATATCAAAAGTGAGAGTAGTTTTTGACATCCGCCAACCCCCCCCACCCCTTCTCCTTTTTTTTCTTTTTCTGTTTTATTAGTTCTTTAGTCCAAATATTCTTTAACTTTTTTCTTCATCAAAGCATTTAATTCACAGTTTCATTCACAGGAACCAGGCACCTGCAATATTTCTTATGTGGAACCTGAATGTGTAATAAGTCCTTCACAGTGCAAGTATCTCATCTCACTCTAACATATGAAGGAATTAATACTAATTCGTAACAATAATCACAATAAAATTCATTGCTGACGAGAACATATCCAAACACTATCACTATCTTATATTAATCTCCAAAATCAGATATTCAAGTTAGAACATGAAATATTCAAACCGACATTATGGCAGTTCAAAAACTTCAGCAATGAGATAAGCAATATAGCAATCACCACGATATCAAACCTACATTAAAGGAACCTCATAATCCAGAAGAGAAAGTGGGGTGTGAAGGAATACTGCTTTGTTTTTATGGTAAATTTAAAAGCATTTTAAAAATGGAACTAATTAAAATGCTATATTCAATAACAATTTTACTGCAAACACTCAGACAATTAGGACCAATTAGAATTCATGGCAACCCAATACCATAAAAGTCTAACCTCCTGAATCCCCTACTTCAAAGAAACAGAAACAAACTAAAAGGAAATGGATTGTTAAAAAAAATACAATAATTTGCAAGCAAATTTAATACTAATCAGTTCTCAATTCCATCAACATAAGCATCCACAAATCTAATTGACAAATATTATGAAAAGTTTCTACCTTGCATTATAATTCAAAATTTTTTCTAATTAGAAAATGAATTAAGGGGCCTTCTTCGCCTTCCACCTAAGCTGAGAAGACTCTTGGATTTCTCCACTCCTACTAAGAAAATGTTCATTCTTCCCAATCATAATACAAAACCCAAATCATGGTGAAATGAACTAGCACTGTGATTCCCACTCCAAAAACATAAGCGTTGCCTACCTTATAACTAAAAAGCAAAAAAAAAAAAAAAAAAAAACTAAGAAAATGTTTCATTCTTCCCCAATCATATAATACATATAACCGCAATCATTGTAAGAAATGCATGAAACTAGCACTGTGATTCCCAACTTCCAAGAAAAACAGGTTCGCCTACCTTTATAACTAAAAGCAAAAAAAAAAAAAAAAAAAAAAAAAAAAAAAAATTATATATATATATCAATTGTTTCACTTTCCCTATTTTCTCAACCAACAATCTCCAGACACACACGTCTTATTTATAAAGTTTCTAACTTTGCTTATTCTCATTAACATTACTATTCCTAATTGCTCGAAATTATTAATGTCAATTCTCTCAAACAATAATAAGCACTCACATAATAAAGTTTATAACTTTTCCTTTCTCATTAACATTAACATCACCGATTGATTGAAATTACTATCCATTTTCTCTGAAGGGACGATAAGCACACACATTATAAAGTTTCCAAATTTACTCATTCTTACTTAAGATTAATGTTTCTAATTGCTCAATAGTACTAATTTCCATATTTTCTCAAGAAATAATTACCGCACGCATTATAAAGTTTACAGCTTTACAATTAACATTAGTAACACTAATTACTCAAAATTACACAAGCCAACTAATACCAATTCATAAAAACATACACAAAACATAACCCTACCTGGCTTGATAACATGTCTATTGATCGCACATTGTAAGGTTTCTAGCTTTACCATTCTCACTAACATTAACATTGCCAATTCCTCCAAATTACACAAACACCAATTAATCCCAATTCAAATTCACACAAACATAATCCTACCAGGCTTTACGACATGTCGATTAGTGAGAATAATCCCACGACGCTTATCAACAACAAAACCGGTAGCATAACTAGCACCAGCCGACTCAGTATCGAAAGCGCGGCAAGCAGTTGTCCGTAATACAACCACGGCGGGGACCACCTTATTGAGAGCCCTCCGCCAGTCTTCTGCGGTGGCAACGTTTTCTTTGAATGGCGGGTCGATCTCCATGCAGAGGTCCTCTTTCAATTTCGTTTCAAGGCCTGCGACCTCAGTCTCCGATCCCAATCTCTCTAGCGGGTCCCCCATAGAAAAAAACAACTCTGCTCCTCACTTTCTGTTTTGGAAATTGAAGTTTTGCAGGGAAAGTGACAGAGAGAAGAGAGTGGTGAAGTGAGATTTGGCTTTTAGCAGGGAAGTGTTGTTTTAAGAAGGGAGAAGAGATACTTTGTTTTTTTGTATGGGAAGTGAATCTGTTACTGTTTTTGGATACTCTTAATTTTTTTTTTTTTTTTTTTTTTTGAATACTTGTGTTTTTTTTAGTATGGGAAGTGATATCTGTTACTGTTTGGAATACTCATTTTTTTTTATTTTTTTTTTTTTGTTTGTAACGATCGCACAAAAATATCAAGGCAAAAATCATATTTCTTATCTTGAAATACGCTCGTTGCTGCTTAAATTTTAGTTTTTTTTTTTTTTTTTTTTTTGTTTGTAACGATCGCAACAAAAATAATCAAGGCAAAATCATTATTTTATCCTTGAAATACGCTCGTTGCTGCTTAAATTTTATATTGGTTACAATTTCACTTTATTTTAACTTTTATATCAATTTCATCCTAAATTTTGATTTTCTATTACAATAACATCCTAAAATTTAAAAAAAAAAAAAAACATTAATATGAAACTTGCTCTTGACTTTTGGTTAACTTAATACTTATGAAACTTGCTCTTGACTTTTGGTTAACTTAATACGAGTTTACTCATTCATACAAGTTTATTAAGTTTAATTATTAAATAAATATATTTTCTATTCTACAATTATCAATTATAATTAATTATATGATATCTTATATTCTATTTTGATAAAGAAAAAGGCAGTGACAATCTTTAATAATTTATGAGTCAAATTAAATGATATTAGCTTTGCTTTGCTTTATAATTATTTAAAAATTTATATTAAAATCAAATCATAATAATAATTATATTCTTTATTTTTAAAAAAAACAGCATCCATGTATCAAATAAATAATTTTTAGATATTACTTATCATCAATTAAAGATATACTTTAAAAATATTAAAAATAATAATAATAATTGTCCTTACTATTAACCGAAGCTCTTTCACTAACACAAATGTATTAAGTTAACTCAAGTCTAGCGTCAAGGATAAACATATATATTATTACAATTTAAGTATTGATTATAATTTAGAGTGTTATTGTAATAAAATGTCAAAATTTTGGGTGAAATTGATATAAAGCTCAAATCGGAGTAAAATTGCAATGAAACATAAAATTCAGGGTGAAACAACACATTAAGCTCTTGAAATATGACCAAATTATTTAAGTAGTCTCATTGTTTGATCGAATATCAAAGGTTTGGTTTCGTCATCCTAAATAGTCCTTTTTTATCCAATTGCTGGAGCTTTGGTCATTAATGTTATGTTTGGAAAGAGTAAGGAAGTAAAACAAGGGTGAAAGTAAAATAAAAGCGTAAAATGATATTATTCATTTTTCTCACCAAATGAAGTGAAAATTATGCTAAAAATTGTGTAAAATAAATTTATTTTATATTTCTCTTAATATTTTCACTCAAGCCAAACAAGAGATTTTGAAATTTTTAAAGCATTTTCACCTTTTATTTTTCCTCCATCCAAAAAAATCTTAAATCAATGGGAAAGCAACAAAGAGATAGAGATGAATTTTTTGAAATGACAAGAAATGTCATTTCTTTTTTATTTTCAATTATCTCCTTTTCTCTCTCTATCCCATCCCCTCTTTAACCTTTTTTTTCTCCCCATTTTCTTCCATTTCACTTATCTTAAATGTTACCATTAGTATTAATACTGCCATGGCTTCTAAACTTGCCTTCCTCTCCTTAATTAAACCATTTCAACCATTAAAAAGTACTTCAATCCGAACAAATTTAACACCGATCAAACCCAGTTGTTTGGATGTGGAACCCTAAACAAACTCCGAAAGATGATGACTCATAAGAAGTTAAAGCCTTTGAAGAAGACAGAACAAGATAGAGTTTTGTTGGATTTAAATAATAATAGTGCAAAACTTATGTTGCCTTTGCAAGGAGTTGCCTATGGATATCAGTTATTAGAAGACCACCAAAAAAACAATTGAAAAAGTCATGTCGGTAGTGGAGGATGATATGGTTTTTAAGAAAGAACCTAATCGCTTTACAGCTTTCTCTGAAATTGATAGAGGTGAACAAAGAGGGATTTGTTTTAGTTTGGATAGTGCTTTTACCATATTCTTTGGTCGTTACTAGATTGCTAACCTAGCAAAATTTGATTTTACTTGTCTTTATCGTATTTGTTATTTTAAAGATTAGGTCTAAAGATTTTACTATGTAAGAAATAACGTTGCAAGTAGTTTGTACGGTAAAGTACAATACAAATTAACTACTTGTATTTATTTAAATTTAAACAAAACTTATGGTTTAATATTATATGGATAAAAAATGAGTATATAACGACCATAGTCAACATACAACGCACATCATACAAAAGACTAGTAATATATAAAAACAACTATGCCTTTAATATTCATTTTATATTTTAATAGTAATCAGCTAATTGCTATCAACCATCAGCCACTAACTATCAGTTGGTATGAATCGTTGAACCAAATAGGCTTTTAGTAACTTTTAACTATTCTATTAGCGGTTAATTGATAATTATTTGTATAACGGTTTAAATTAGAAGTGCTCCATAAAAATAGCTATTTAATTAGTTGTTTAACTTAAAATGACAAAAAAAAATACATTATCTAAATTTAGAGGAAAAACAATGGGTATAATTGTCAAAATAATTAATTAATCTATATACTATATATAAAAGTGGGAATAAGGGGGGAATAATAGAATTACTGATATTGTCCTTGTGAAATTTAAGATATTCTAAATTAACCTTAGTTTTAACCAATTAAAAATTTTTAATCTAAAAATATATATAATATTTCTATAATTTGATTGGATGTTTTTTGTTGCGAGCGTGTGGCGTTCTCGTGTTGCGCTCGTGCGCTTCCCGCACGCCTCGAAGCGCTCGGCTCTTGCCAGTCGGCTGGTCGTGCCTAGCGGGCGGGGAAGCGGAGGGATAGGTGGGCACAACGTCGAGGGGGATGCAGGTCTATTAGTGCTGGCAGGTACAGGTGTGTGAAAGGTTAAAAAACGAGGTGCGAGCGGGGTCGGCATTCAATAAATTCTTTGGTCGTTACTAGATGCTAACCTAGTCATAAAGTTGATTTACTTGTCTTTATCGTATTTGTTAAGTTTAAAGATTAGGTCTAAAGATTTTACTAATGTAAGAATAAAGTTGCACGTAGTCTTGTACGCGGTAAAGTAACAGATACAAATTAACTACTTGTATTTATTATAAAGAATTTAAACAAAACTTTATAGCGTTTTAGCATGTATTAAATATGGAAAAAAAATGAGTATAAACGACCATAGTCCAACATACAACGCACATCATTACGAAAAAGACAGTAATATTAAAAACAAGCTATGCTTTAATATTCATTTTACTATTTGAATAGTAATTCAGCTAATTGCTATCAACATCAGCCACTAACTATCAGTTGGAAGAATCGTATGAACCAAAGTAGCTTTTTAGTAGCACTTGTTAAACTATTGCTATTAGCGGTTAATTGATAATTATTTGTATAACGGTTTAAAATTAGAAGTGTCCAATAAAAAATAGCTAATTAATTAAGTTGGTTTAACTTAAAATGACAAAAAAAAACATTATCTAAATTTAGAAGGAAAAACATATGGGTAGTAAATTGGTCAAAAATAATTAATTAATCTATATACTTATATATAAATACGTGGAATAAGGGGGAATAATAGAATTAGAACTGAATTATTGTCCTGTGAAATTTAATAATTGATAATCTAAATTAACCTTAGGTTTTAACCAATTAAAAAATTTTTTTAATTAAAAAATATAATATAAATATTTCTATAATTTGGAATTGGAATGTTTTTTTGACTTTTTTAATAGATAAATAAATATAGATATAGGAAGGCATATCAAAATTTTAAAAAATTTTTTAAACTAATGTGTTATTTATTAATGTCTAATATATTTTATTCTTTATATATTACTAAATTTATATTAATAATTTAATAATTTTTAATAATGTAATTATTATTGAATAATTTATAATTTAAGCTTTCAACATTATTTATTGTAATAATTATGATGTAACTGGAGGCATTTGAAGATTTTTTATATTTTTTTTGAATTTAATTTTAAATAAAATAATTATCGTGATGATTGATAAGGCAGTCAGAATATGGGGCATATGCTAATTTATTATATTATATTAGATTGTTATATGGTAAAAGTTTCTTTATTATCATATTATCATTCTAAATTGAGTATGCCAAAAATAGATAAAGATAGAATGCATTATTTAGAGACATGTCGAATTTTAATTCGTTATAGTTGATTCTTATATAATTCAATCCTATTTCTATTAAAGAATATAATTTTTATAATAATTTTTTTTAAAAATGCTTTCAATTGATTTGGATTGGCTAAAAAATAAAAAAATTATAATTGAATTTTATAAATATTTAATTAAATTTATTAAATTAATTTAATTTATTAAATAGCTTTCTTATTGTATTGTTAACGTATATTTATTTACTAAAAAAATTACAATAAAAATTATTAACAAAATATGTAAATTAATTATAAAGTATATAATAGAAGCTATATTATAAAAATAAAAAATGCATTGAAATACTTTTTCACCGTAACCCCGATATCAAGTCCAATGCAAAGAACCAAAATAATCAATTATTTTGGTTATTTTTAGAATTTCAGTAGTGTTTAATTCAGTTTTCTTATCAAAAAAATTTATTGTTTCAATTATGTAATAATTTAAACTGAATTTATCAAAAATAATGCTCTTAGCTAAGACTCTTTTAAATATTTTATAATCATTAATGATTTGTTTTAAAAAAAATTTCTTGCGTTTGTTGAGATTTGAGATCCTATTTTTAAAATGAGTTATAAATAATTAATTTCTACTTGCATTTTTGGAGATTTTTTTTTTTAAATTGTTACTAGTGTCAGAACTCGCGTGATGTGCGAAGCAATATTAAAAGATGAAATAATTTTTTATAATTTCGACATAAATAGAATATGAAAATTAGACGGTTGACATGAACGTGACATATTTAACCCGCTTAATATCATAAACAGGTTAAGTAAGTCGTGTTGATCTATATACGACTCACTTAACCTGCTTACATTATTTTTAACTTTTAACCTATTTAACTCCAATCATATTTAAAAATAAATTTTCACGTGTAAAATGCATAAATTGTAAAATGCATAAATTCTTTAAGATTTATAATTAAAATAAAAAAGTAATACAGCAATAAAATTTAAATAGATTTTAGTTGGAGTATTTATATTTAATACTAAACTTACCTCTTTACTCTTAAATAAAAAGGTCACTCGCCTAACCCACATGTCAACCCGCGATACAACATATTTATATTTGTGTCATAAATTGGTGAGTCATTTATAGCACAAACTCGTTTGATCTCAACACTAGCCCATTTATTTCGCGTGCTAGGCTAATCGTGTTCGCGTGTTGTGACCCTTTTTGACACCCCTAATATGACCTGCATAAAAAAATACACACACACTATTAATGTACTTTTCAACGGTGATGATAATTTTGAGAATTTAACTAATTATATTTAAATAATAAATTAAGTATTTTTTATTTTATGTAGTATTTTTATTTTAATGTTTATGATTTATTATAAAATGAATAAATGATTGTTTATTTATTTCAAATATTAATATATACTTATTTAGTATAGTGTGTCCTAAGCGTGTGGATCTCCTACTTTTTTAAAAATTATCGCATCGCATTACGTTCTCGCATTACGTTCTCGTATCATGTGATGAAGCGTTTTTTTTAAATTTATTTTTATATCTTTTTGTTCATGAATAATCGGAAAAAATAAGAAGGGACTAAATTTGCTTTTGAAAAAAATTTGTTACTTATTTTTTTTGGATATAAAAGAAAAATAAAATTAATTTTCTCTACAAATTTATTTTTATAGTTTTTTATTTTCCTTCTAATTTGTTTTCCTTCTAATTTGAAGAAAAAATTATCACAATTCTTTTCCCTTATATTCCTTTCTTATTTCCAAATAAAATAGTTTTTACTTATTAATATCAATTTAGTTTTTTCCTCCTATATGATATTATCTGAAGATATAATTTTTTTCCCTTATAATCTATACAATGTGCAGGGTAATATTAAAAGATGAAATAGTATTTTATAATATCATTCAAAAATAGTAAATTATATATGATAAAAATGTATCTTATTGAGATATGCTGAAAAGTTACGATGCTAAAATATGTATTTTTAAATATTATCCGAAATTTTTCATAAAGTATGCAATAGCAAAAGTCTAGCAAAAGTCATCATGTAATGACCTACATAAGAAATTGCATACACACATATTAATGTAATTTTTCAATAGTAATAAATAATTTTAAGAATCCTAACTAATTTAAGAATCTAACTAATTATATTGAAATAAGAATTTAAGTATTTTTTATCTTATGTTTATGATTTATTATAAATGATTATTTATTTATTTGAAATATTAATATATGAGTATTTCCTAAGTATATGGATGTTTTACTTTTTAAAAATTATCGTATCCATAAGTTCTCGTATCTCGTGTTCGTGCAACCTAGCTCATGATATATGATACTACGTATATCAAGCTAATCAACCGATGTTTTTTTATTTACCAATATTATTGTCTACTCTACAATCTCTCCAATTTTGATTTATAAATTATTATCTAAAATATTACAAAATAATTTTTTCAAAATCCAATCTCTAATTATTTGTCCAAATTATTGTCAATTAATTTATTCAAAATCCAATTTCTAATTATTCTCTCTAATTTTTTTGTTCAATTTTCCAATTTACATATTATTTTCTTATAATGACAAGTAGAGGAAACTCAAGTTCTGCTAAGGGCAAGAGAAAGGTTAGGGAAACACAATATTCATCTATCCATACAGATAACATCTTCTATTTCGCTCCAATCAATATAGTCTTTCAGGGATATCTAAATGAAAAATTGGAAATTCCAACTCAATGATCCAAATTTAACGGAGAGAATTTACAAAAAATAAGTTCCAACTTTTTTAAACAAAAATTCAATTAAGTTGAAGACTTTTAAAAAAAAAAAGAAATATTTTCTTTAATTTGCTTTTGTGTCGTTGATAAGAAATTTAGTGTTTTTTTATTTTATGTTTATTATAAATGATTGTTTATTTATTTGAAATATTAATAGTGTAGTGTATTTTAAGCTGATTGTTTATTTATTTGAAATATTAATAGTGTAGTGTATTTTAAGCGAGTGAATGTTCTAACTTTTTTTAAAAATTATTGTATCTCGTACGTTTTGTATCTCATGTCTCATTTCCATGCAACTCAGCTTTGGTATATGAGACTACTATAACTTTCTAAACTGCTATAAGGCATATCAAAAAAACTACAAAACAGAAATTACAAGAATAAAACCAAAAATTCTCCATTTAGAAGGAACTGGAGCTCATCAGTTAGGAAAGACTTTATCTAGTTGAGTACAGATGTAATGGAAAATCAACATAATCTCATTCAAGAAATTAATTATTTCTTATTTTATAGCTTGAGTTATTTGTATTTTAATTAAATTTTAATTTAATTTAACGCATTATCTTGATGTGATGTAACTAATAAATATTATCATGATAAAGACATTATCTAAAAATATAAAACAATTTATCTCCTTACAATTGCTGTCATTACATCTTATCTTCTTACAACCGTGCCAAATAATTGTTGTCATTCTCATACTTGACAATTTCGAAGACTTACACTTGATTTTGGATTTTATATAATGCAAATTGCTCTGCTTTTAAATATATATATATATATTTGCATACACAGCCAATCATCCATTAAATATAAATAACCTAACTATCATTCAATCATCATTTATAAGTTTTAAAAAATAAAATTATTCAATCATGCATTTGTAATGGATAACCTAACTATTCTTTCATTCAATGTCTTGCTTTTCCTTGTATATATGTACAAGGCTGCATCAACGTAATAATAATTTTTGAAGCTGAAGAAATAAAAGAGATCTCTTTTTAAATCTGTGAAACTCTATGTTCAAAATAAAACTTTTTTTTTAGGTATTAGAAGAGAAGAAATTTAAATTTAACTTTATTGCTAGGTTATATATCTATATTCCATCAATTATCTAGATAAAATTACATTTTAAACAAGTTTTTGTATTATTGGCACAAAATCACACGTGAGATGGGTGAGGAAACTAATCAATTTAAAGAGGGAGTAACGTCTCATCACATATGTCATTTGTGCTTGGGAGGCATATTTTGATTTTAATATCATTAAAAAGAGCAAATTAGCTTCATATCTCTTCAATAAGTAAACTTAGTTACTTGAACTTTTTTGTGCACTAATTAACCCTTAATCACCATTTATATCATTCATTCTTTCTTCATTCACTACAATTTACTTTTCCTTTATTTATTCTCAACTAGCATCACAGATATGCTAACAAAAGTAATTCTATACATTTTATTTTACACTACTTTTGTTTCTGATATGAATGAAGAAGAATATAAAGACAAATCTTTTGTAATTAAATATAAAATTATAGTCAAACTCGCGGTTATTTTACAATCAGTCATTTGCATTCCATTGGAAAATTACACTACTCTGTATTAAAATCATTCGCACCAGGAGTAATGTTGTCAATTAGAATTATTCATGTACATTGTGATGCTTTTGAGAGCTTGACATTACCATGGCTAAGATATAATGCACTAGGAGTAAATTTAGTGAGCGGCCAAAATTAAAATTAGAGGCTATATGTTGAGGCAGAAGCCATATATGTTTGTTATGTACCTAATTGAGAAAAAAAAAAAAAAAAAAAATTTGTTAAGTACCTAAATTGAGAAAAAAAAAAAAAAAAAAAAAAAAAAAAAAAAAAAAAGAAGCTAGGTGTTATTATAATAATGCACAAAATTCAACCCTAAAATGCTTAACTAAAACATGAGAATTGTTGAAGAGTAACAATATGTAGTATTATGTGAATATTTATCATTAATACAAATAATAGTATTATTTGTATTGCACGAAGCAAAAGTCTCACCGGTGGAAAAGGAGGAAGTAATTTTTAAAAGAAAATAGAAGATATCCAACAAGCAAAATGACTCTTCTGATGAAACCAGAACAATTTGTAAATGGATTGAAATTTTGAACTAAGAAACATTTATCATTCAGAAAACCACTATAAGGTTGCAAATTGAAACTTACAATTTGACAATATGAAATAGACTTTTGATGGTCCAATCACAATCTCACTCTTCAAAGGATACACAAGCACTTTACTGCAATGCCTTGATTGTCTCTCTACGCCAGATTGCAGTGTCCGGATCAAATCTCAGTTCCCACGTGGGCCAATAATGCAAGTCTTGCTTCAATGTTAGCACTTGTGGCTTTCCATCCAAGTTGATAGTTCTTATTCGAACAAATTCCTCACTTCCTAATTCCTGATATAATACAAAAGTGAAAAATATAGTTAAATATATAATAACAAATTCGTTACTTTTTCAAACAATATGTTTAAATCAGGTCCAAGTGGACCGAATTGAACAATCCTAATATACACCATCATTAGTTAATCAATTAGTTTAAATCTATACTATACTATACTATATATAAAAGGAGAAATAGGAGAGGGGATAATGTGATCGCAGAAATTGTCCTTATGAAATTTAAGATATCATAGAATAACCTTACTCTTAGCTAATTAAAAAATTTTAACCTAAAAATATATATATAATTTCTATAATTTGATAGGATATATATATATATTTTTTTTAATAGATAAATATATATAGATATATTTTTGTTTAAACTAGATAAAATTATATATAGAATAATTAAGCATTTTAAAAAATTTTAAATTTTTTATTATTATTATCGTACTATGTCTAAATTATATTTTATTTCATTTATTATTCCTGTAAATTAATTAATAATTTTAATAATTTTAAATAATTTAATTATATTATAATTTTATACATTTATGCTTCAACCAATATTATCCCTTAACTAAATATGTGTAAATATGGGCCATTTGAAACTTTTACCAATTTTTTTTTTTTGAAATTTTTTTTTAATTTTGAATTTTTTTTAAATAAATATATCTAGATAATTCAAATTTTGATTTAAAAAGGGTATGATTAAATTTCTTTAATTACAAATTGCACTCTAATTTAGTTGGTCTAAAATTAAGATAAAAAATTATTATTTTTAAATATCTCAAATTTTATTAGTTATATTGATATCTTATATAATTCAAATCTTAGTTCTATTAAAGAAAATAATTTTATTAATAATGTTTAAATGCTTTCATGATTTTAATTGGCTAAAAAAAAATAAGAATAAATATGATAAAACTTCTAATAGAAGCTATACGCTGATTTTTTATAATTCAATTTGGATTTTCTTTAAAAAAGAAAATGAAAGCAACTAATATATGAATCATGACATATAACCAAAAAAAAAAAATATTTACTATATCTATGAAGTGTAATGTATTTTAACAACTTAATCTAAATAATAATTTATATTTTAATATTATATAAATAAAAAATTAAACGAGTATAAAGAATAAGCATATAACGAGCATCAGAGTAGGAATACAAGATATAAATATGCAAATAATGACAAATCTATATCCTACTGTTCACTCAAGTATATGAATAATATGGACGATTTTTGGCATTGTGGGTGGGGAGAAGCTATATGCAAGAACCTAATTTATTCTATCAAATCCATTGTCAAAGTGCAAAACAATCATGGGAACAAAAAGTCCCAAGTTTATGAAAGGATATATACATTATAATGAAAGGACAATTTGATAGCAGGAGAAATCACAAGTTCAATCAAATTAGTTTAATCTCCATTTATTAGTTTAACTAACTAATATATATCATAAATCTCATCCAAATCAATGCAGCCTTATACACGTAATGCTTTCATTTTTCATTCATCTTTTCCTATATCTGTCCCTTGAAAAGTTTCTTTGATTCATTGTTTTTCAAATTAAAGCAACCTTAAAGCAACATCACATGCTCTAGAATAATAGCTACCAGCATAAAAAGAAAAAAAAATCCCATAATCATTAAGCAATGAGAAAAAAAAAAAAAAAAAAAAAAAAAGAAAGATAAGAGGCATTGAAATAAGGATGACAGTTTCAGAACCACGCATGCATATATTTGCTAAAGCAGAAGCCAAAAAGAAAAAAAAAAAAAAAAAAAAAAAAAAAAGAAAGATAAGAGGCATTGAAAATAAGGATGACAAGTTCAGAACCACGCATGCATATATTTGCTCAGAGAAGCAAAAAGAACTAGAATGTTTTGTACCTTTGTCACATTAGCAAAGGCATCCAAATCAGGAGTCGGTTTTCCATTGACTTCAACTATCCATCGAAGACCACATAGACCATATCTGTCTGCAGGACTTCCACGATAATACCTAAGAAAATCAGAAATTTACAAAACTTTATTCAGTAATTTTAGCACTCTTATGTAATTGATTATCATTTGAAACAATAGTGGGGCCGAAATATTTTCTAAGGGCCAATAATTCAACAAGTCAGTTTAATTGCAATTTGAAAATGTAAACACAGATTAAATTACATCCAAATCCAATTAATAATAAGAACATTATAATTTAATTATAATTATAACTTGGAACAACTTAATGTATATAATTAAGAATATAGTGTAGAATGATTATTAAACAATCAAAATGTAACTTAAATCTAAGTACCATTTGAAGTACTAAAAAATACTAGATTTATATGGCAACAATGATACAATAACAACAAGAAGCCTTAGTCCCAAACTAGTTGCAATAGTGATAACTCTTCAAAATAATCAGGTTTATGTTCTTCTGACTATTTTTTATCGAAGTACAAAACTGAGCCAAATTTCCTATCTTTATTCTTTAAAACAAGTTAAAGTGAAGTAAATTTAATAAAACCCCCAAAAACCGCTCATTCAAAACTCATACTCTAGTTCTTCCCTGAAATAACATTAATTGACCCTACTCAAATGTAAATGAATCCCTTGTGTAATTTGAGAGCAAAGATAATGTCTATTTGTAGTAAAATTGCATTCAATTGACATTTTAGGGGTTCTAGAAGGTTTCACCTAAGGTTCATGGGTTGAATGGTCAGTGATCCATGTCAACCCATTTTTATGTCAACTATGTTTGACCAGCTTCAAAAATTACCTTGTCCAAACTTTTACATTTCTAGAATCAACATGCAGCCCAGCTTTGTTTAGCTCACAAGCAGTTCTTCAACATTTGGATATTGCTTAGTAAACATGCTAACTACTTTAAAAAGATTGTATATTTTCCATCTGATGCTATACAAAGCATTAAAAGAAAAGCAAATCCCAGTGCATTGTTGCTATCATTCCGATTCTAGCATTATCTTAGAATCAAGAGCTTGATATTTGTGGCAAAAAACAAGATTCTTACTTTGTAACATATACACCATGCCCTTCCTCAGGAAGAAACCCAAGCGCACGCACTGCAAGATGAGGATATTGAACAATACAACCACACCAATTTATCATACGTGTCGTGCCATTTCCATCTCTAATATCTGTTTCTACAACAATATCAACTGCACGTCCCTAGAAAATCATGCAGACAAGGGTGTCAAATTAATTTATTAATTACCAACATATTATAAACATATACCATGTCAAACTATACATTTTCCAATTAATATATATATATATATATACACAGTGAGTTAAAAGCATTGTGCATATCCACTTGGTGTTTGCTTACTCGTTGAAATATGGTCATGTTAAGTTTCCCACCCTTGTCAGCATTGTTCTCTAATGCTTTGCAAGCATTTTCTATATCACGGAAACAAGTGACAGGCTCTTTATTCACTGCCAGCACCATGTCACCTTCTTTTAATACATTTTCAGCTTTAGATCCAGCCAAACACCCTTTAACACGTAATACTTGTCGCCTTATTGGATCTTTCTTGATCAAAGCCTACAGAAAACAACCACTAGTATCTACAACAATGATATAGCAAAGCCCTACAGCATTTGTGCAAAGTTAAGTTGAAGAGCACTTATGAAGCATAGAAACCAATAGATGGTAGTGAAATAAGAATGACTTGATTTATTTTGAATGTGAAAAACATTAACAGAAAAAGGATAGCAAGGCTAACCATAAGAAATTGTAATAGCCAATAGTGTAACCCCTTATAAATACTAGAGCAGTTATTTGATTAAAGAAATTCAAAACTGAAATATGCCATACTTTCTGCATCACAGCATCATAACATATTAAATTGGACAACAACCAACTTATAGAAAGACTATTGTTATTTTTTGTCATTTTGATAATGTACATCTCCTACTTGGTCATTTAAGAGTTCCAATTAATGCACTGACACCTAGGCAATTTCATTAAACAAGTAATGTGTACTTGTAAAGCAAGAGAAACAAAGAAAAATTGGCAAAAATTTCTTCAACCACGTGAAAGAAGAGCAAGCACTAAGAAGATAATGCATTTTTAGACTGCGGTTACAGAAAAGACAGGAATTTATGTACTGTACAAGAAAAAAAAAAATTAAAACGTACTTGAATCCAATCATCACTCAAACCAAAACTCCGAGCCTTTGAAAGCAATCTAGTAACAAATTCAACCTCTAAAATCCTAACAAGTGGCATCGGCCTTTTGACACCATTTATTAGAACAGATGGTCCATTTGCACCAGATGTGATCTTGTCAACTACTTGGCTGATCATATAGATTGGAATCCCTTTAACAAATTGAGGATCTTTTGATGCACTGCTACCAGATTTTTTCTGAAAATGAAGATCTGAGAGTTGTAGCATAATATAAGACAAAACATGAAGTAAATTAAAAGAACAGTCACAACCTTAGCTGAAAAGCTTGCCCACAGAGCTTGAACTTTTCCACGCTTATTGCTTAGAACTCCCGTAAACATATAACCAAAATCTGGATTATAGCATAAAATAAGAACCACACCCATACAAATTAATAGATATATGGGTAATTAAGAACTATTCCCTTACCAGAATCAAGCTCAATAACCTCCATATTGATTGCTCTGTTACAAGGAGGATCAGCTTTGGGAACATGCAATGAGAGACATGCATTTGTTACAGTAGATTTCCTTGATATTGCTTGTAGATTTCTCAACCCCACAAGATATACTGGATCTCCACTACATAAAGGAGGCTCTGCTCGAAAAGTATAAATATAATTCTTTAAAACAAAAAAGTAAAGCAATATAATCAGTATGGAGAGAATAAAACAAGAAAAAAGGGCACATGGGCGTGTGACCAAACAAGTAAGGCTGCAAAAGAGTGGATCCATCAAGCAAGCCTGAAAATAATAGCTCACGATTGAAATTCCTAGACCTTACTTTACAACCTCACAAGCTGTTAGGCAATTCTGGACAGGGATCTACCTTCTTGAATATCATCTATCAGAAAGACAGTGAACCAAGGATCTCACTGTGAACAAAGATAACAGGGAGGGGCTTCACCTCTCCATAAAAGCAACAGGTGTTCACTATGCCTTCAAATTATTTCCAGTTATTTGCAATCAAATATAAAGTGCAATGAATTGATGATAGTAAGACGCTATGGAGAAAAAATAAAAGGCTCAATTTGCTTTTCCTCCACATAATTACTGCAGTTAAAAAAAGCCTACTTTCTTGCTCGCTTGTTGATTTCTAAATCTTTCACTCAGGGCAGCCATAAAGTAGCACCTATCCTCATTGAACTGGTTAAAACTGAAGCAGCCAGATGTTGATGACTCAAATGAGTTGATCTTAAATTGAACCAGATTAATTAATGAGCTTAGACAACAGTGATATAAGCTCAAGCTAAATTCTCCGAACTTGGGATGGACTTAAGCTTCTTTATTTTTGAGCAAACTAAATTCAAACAACTAGAAGCTCAGCACTACTTAGCTAATTCTAGTCCTAATTCCTCCTCATTCACTCCATGATGAGAATATGCCACTACTTAAAAAAAAATATGATAAATCATGAAATCTCCATGCAGTCTGCTTTCTTTCTTTCTCCGCAATCTTTTCTTAATAAGAGTACCAAAGGCAGGGGGAAACTACATAAAGTCAAACTCAAACCTACCAGGAAGAAGTTCCGCAGCACAAACCATTGAAGCGCCCACAGCTCCTAGAGCAGACGGGTTATAGGCAACAAGAGCGAAATTGTAAACGGGATGAAGAAAAACCACCTGCAATGAAATAGACGGTGCATGAAATGCCACAAAAATGTTTTGAACATTCCTACTACAAAATTTACCTGTCCCGGAATTTCAATAGGAAATGCAGCAAAGGATAACATCACATCAGATGCAGATATTGCAACTGTGTTCTGGTCAACTGCAACCAATCCCATTCCTTGAGAGTGATGCACAATGACACCAGTTCCAAAAAAATTTTGTGAACTGACACCATCAAGCAAACACGATGAAGGCACATTAACCTGGAAGTACAAAACAAACAATCATTTATTTCACTAATAAGATAGATTTAATAGGGAGTCAGCATAGATTATCAAAATAACTGATCAAAACAAACAATAATTCTTTCTTCTGAATACAAGTTCACAAGAAACAGAGTTATGAGAACAAAAGTAAGCCAAACTTGGTACCACAATGAACAAAGAGTAAAGAAAACAAAAACAAGTCACAAGTATTATAACAAGGTAGTATAAGAATAATCAAAACATCTATGAACCAGCACATAGTACTGAAAAAAAGAATAATATGCACTGATATAGAAGCATTAGTGGTTGCCAGATCTAGTGCAGAAGTTGAGTATCAGTTGTATTATGTGATGGCGCATGGCAACTGCACATTTCAGTCAACACTATAGCAATTTACCACTACAACTTGGCTACGGTTCCACAAAGACTATTAACGTGAATGCTGAAGATTTGATTGAATGCTCAAGGAACAAATTAATTTACTCATGGTCATTAAATTTCTGCATATCACTCAACTTGAATCAGTACATAACTAGATATTTTTGTTTCATTAAAATAACCAGATTCCATTCCAGGTAAGGGCTACAAGATTAAACTATTGCTAGATAACTATAGTAAGATAAAGTGTTTTTTTTCCCTGATTAAAAAGTGGATTTCAAGGTTTTGGAGGAGAATTCTATTCTATAGCCATAGAGATTTCCATAAATCATTGCACAGTGGAACAATCCCAAACTTGAGAATTGAAATAGATAAATTTAGGTTGGAGTTATAATTAACTGCAAACTTTTTTTCAATCAAAAAATATTTAAAACCACAGCAAACTATGTAGAAAAGTAAAAAAGCTCTTTCTGAAGGCTATATCCAACCTAGTTAATAATGTTAGCGTTGAAAGTGGAAGGTAGCTGTTTAGTTGCATTTTTTTCTAATTGGAAAACAAATGTTGATAGAGCTAGAACAGATATGAAATAGTGACTTCATAACATAGTTGTGAGAACAAATAACAATAGCCTAGAACTTTTCACATATTACCTCAACCAGTACAAGAGCAGGTTCAATCACACGGTCTGGAGATGGAGCCTTAGCTTCAGCTTCTGTTGCAAACTCAGGGTGATTTGAATTTGCATTTTCCGTGATTACTGGATTCTCCAACTTAATTTCTCCAGCTTCATGTGAGGAACTGTTGGGAACAACAATGTTATTTATGGACAAATCTCCTAGTACTTGTGTATTTATTGCAACATCACATTCATCTCTGGAACCAACTTCCTTAGAAGCATGATCATGACAAGTTCCCATATTGTCAGTCAACTCCAAGTTGTTATTTTGAGGCATGTCTTCCACAAGATTGGATTCACAACTAAATGCAAATGTTTCTTCTTTTAAACCTTGTCCGGGATTGGCAATACAAGATGAAAGCAACAGAGCTTCAGGCTGAATAGCAGGTCTTGCTATCCACAAACCGAAACTATCATCACGAGTGTATATCTTTGGAGTATCATACCATTGATGGCAATCAGTTGTGACCAGCGCAAACTGCAGTTACCACAGATGTTAAAAAGAAAATCTACTTATCTCCTGAATGATATTAATCAGGGAGAAAAAAAATAAGGGTTTACATGTGAATACATGACAACAAATTATCATCCATGTTCATATTCTTAAAGTCAAAAACTCCCATTTCATCTTTTGGGATATCCAATTTACATGAATAGATTATGGAACAAACACAAAGCATAAGTGCTAATTGATTGAATATAAAACATTCACAAATTTAAACAACAAAAAGTGGGTGTTGGAAGAATATGTTCTCTAGGTTACAAGTTATATAATTTTTGCATACCTTGCTTCTATGACGATCCTTGTGGGTTATATACTCTATTGGCACTTGAGCACCCGGAGACAGGTTTGGCAAAACTGAGATTAGCTCTTCAAGTCGTGATATCTCTGCATCAGAAAACTTCTTAATGATGGCATGGCGAGGAACACCAGCTCTAGATAGCATATATCTGTCATATGTTGGTAGTGGTAACATTTAGTAAAAGGTCTACACAGGTCTTATAAACAACAGGGACCATTTAAATCCTGTTACTATTCCACAATTCCTTTGAAATAATATAATTTATCTATTCATTCTTTTACTGTTTTTATGCTTGTAAGAATTCAATTTCATGGTTTTCTTCTTATAGTCTCTCTCTTAATTGTCAATGAGCATAAGACTAATAATAAAAGGCGCTTGTCGATGTCACCCATGCATGCTAGGAATAAGCATTTTATATGCACAGCAGAAAAGGCTATCCACAACATTTGCCAAAGTAAAAATGACAACAAAACAACTCTTTTATCAAAAACTTAAGAGCATATAACAGTTTTTTTAAACATCGAATGAAGATTTTAAAAGCTTGCAAATTCAATCCTTTACCCGTTATCCAAAAATAACGAAGGCAACTGCATTCCATCAAATAATTTAGAATTTTATATATTGATGATTAAATCCATGAGCTCCAATCAATTAGGCAAGCCCACTAATTAACTAATTAAGAAAAATCCAAAAATTGAATTAGAGTTTTTTTCAAAAGAGAAAGATAAGATAGTTTTCTTGGTAACCAAAAGAAATATGGTCTTCAGACATAACCAAGACAGATGTATTCCTAGGCCATCCTTTTTTCCCTCACAGGCTACAGAATGGTTGAATCCCTGAGACTTTACACTCCTCCCATGCTTTCTTCATTTTCTTATTTTTCATTAGTCAGGTAAAATACTGCCTCTTCGTCTTTGTTCATAGAACTCTAATCTACATTCCTTTTAGCCATTAATTTCAGGTTTAACTCTCTGTTAAAAACAAGATGGTTTCACTATCTCAAAATTTACTTATTCAATTAAAAAAAAGAAGTCAAAAGTTCACATCAAACTAACCGTCAGCACTGTTTTTCAACTGAAAATTTCACTGAGAAATAGGAATATCAAGGGAATGTGCAAGTTTTTCCATTCCATTCCCACTGCAACCCTACCCGCATAGAAAATGGTTGACAAAATAAGAAGAGTGCAAGGCAAGGACAAGTGTATCCACTTCATTTTTTAATAATATTTTATAAAGTATTAAATGTCATTTTCTTTATCACTAGTTGCAAATGTATGTCTATAATTTTGTATATTATTAGTTACTATTCTAGGAAGAAACAATAATATTAAGTAATAAATTATATAATTTTCAAATTTTGAAAAAATTTTATATTTATATGTCAAAGGTGTATATGTGTGTGTGTGTGTGTGTGTGTATAATCAATTTAGTGTATAAATTTAATAACTCATAAATTTTTTCGAAAATCAAAGCATAATGCTAAAATTTAATGATACTTATATATTTTATTATAAATATATAAACTTCAATTATTACTATTGAGACTTTGTTTTTAGAAAATATTTTTTCTAAGAGAATTTTCTCCTTGCCATTGTCGTTCCTCCGCCACTCTCTTCCTTCCTGTTTACGGCTATAGTGCAGCGATCACAGGTGAAGCTGCGATTTTGTTTTTTTCCGATCGAGACAACGCTCTCCCTCTGTTCTTTTGCCATTTCTGGCGACACCAGCTCATCACAGGCCCTCTCCTCATCTCTAGCATTTCTCCAGCCACCATCCTATTCATTTCCGATCAAGTTAGCATCAACAGGATTGGCTTTTGAACAAAGGAGCCACTGCCGATTGTTCTAACCAGAAAATTTCGATTTCCAGCATGTATCGCAGCTGGGTAAGTCAATTTCCAACCTTCATCAGTTTAGTTTATGAGTTCCTTGATCAAAGATGGAGGTTTTGAATCATGAATCAAACTATTGCATAAATTTAGACCCTAGCTCCTACTGTTTATACATTTTTTTAAAGGAAAAATTTGATTCTCGAATTTAGTTCAAATTATTAGCTAAATTAATGGATAAGTTAGCATGAACAAGGGGATTTTAGTTTAAAAATAGATATAGCATGATTATGACAGCAACATTGCCACTAATGCTTGAGCTATTGCAGAAATTTATACATCAAGCTATTGTTTAGGTGAATGTGATTAGGAATTTCGGATTTTTGCTCTTTAAATTGGTATATAAACTGATTCCTATGTTGCTATTGCGTCTATTATAAATCTTTACAGAGAATTAAGGGTTCTTTAGGTTGAAAATAGCTAGTTAGCTATATGCTTAAGTTCTTACTATCCTATGAAGGAATTATTGAACTACTTTCATTTTGAATGAGTTATAAATTGAATTTTATTAAGTTATGTGCGAACCAGTGGATATATTATGGGTATTAAGTAGAAAATTTTGAATTCCTTGAGCTAGTGTGTAAAATATGAAAATTTAATCATGAAGCCTAGACTTTTGGATTTGGCAGCAGTTATTTCAATTTATTTTTGTAAGTTGTAGCTCAGTATAGTATATTGAAGTTGTAAATTTGATTTTGATGGGAATTAGTTAGTTAATGTTTAATCCATGATTTTAACATAGAAAACTTCGATTTCTGCAAGTTGGTAGCAATTTGAGTTTTTGTGTTGTATTAGAAGGACATACATGTAAAAATGAGTAATGTATAATGGATAGACGATTTAAATGGTTTGTTAGCTATGATATTGTTATTGAAGGAGAATGGGTATTTGATTTGATTGAATGCCCAACGGATGGGCTATGTGTATTGATTGAAAATATTTGATGTTATTATGACATTTAGTCAGGTGGAAAGTCCTATTTTTAGGGGAGATTCTGCCAAAATTTGGCAGAATCTCAGATAATCATACTTAATAAATAGATTGTTAGATTTATTTAGAATGATTTCTTATTCTTTAGTTAATTCTTCTCTCTTTTCAATTCTACTTCATATAGATTATTCAAGATTGTCTTTTGCTTTTAAAAAAAAAAAAAAAAAAAAATTTGCTCTTTAAATGATATAAAACTGATTCTATGTTGCTATTGACGTCTATTATAAATCTTACAGAGAATTAAGGGTTCTTTAGGTTGAAATAAGCTAGTTTAGCTATATGCTTAGTTCTTATATCCTATGAAGGAATTATTGAACTACGTTTCATTTTTTGTGATGAGTTATTAATTGAATTTTATTAAGTTATGTGCGAAACCGAGTGGATATATTGATGGGGTATTAAGTAGAAAATTTTGAATTCCTTGAGACTAGTGCTGTAAAAATATGAAAATTAATCATGAAGCCTAGACTTGGATTTGCAGCAGGTTATTTCAATTTATTTTTTTGTAAAGTTTGTGCTCAGTATAGTATATTGTGAAGTTTGTAAATTTGATGTTTGATGGGAATTAGTTAGTTATGTTTAATCCATGATTTTAACATAGAAACTTCGATTTCTGCAAGTTGGTAGCAATTTTGAGTTTTGTGTTGTATTTAGAGGACTACCATGTAAAAAATGAGTAATTGTATATGGGATAGACGATTTAAATGGTTTGTTTAGCTATGATATGTTATTGAAGGAGAATGGGTATTTGATTTATTGACTCAATGCGTGCTCCCGGATGGGCCTAATGTTGGCTTCATTTTATTTTCGTTGCAATATCTTTTTATGTTCATCTAATGACATTTAGTCAAGGTGGAAAAGTCTATTTTAGGGGAGATTTTGCCAAATTTGGCGAATCCTCAGATTCTCATACCTAAATACAATAATTGTTAGATTTATTCTAGAATGATTTCTTTATTCTTTCAGTTTAATTCTTCTCTCTTTTCAATTCTACTTCATATCAGTTATTACAAGATTGTTTTTGCTTTTAAAAAAAAAAAAAAAACAACAAAACAGAACTTTTAAAAAAAAAAAAAAAAAAACAAAACAGAACTACGATTAGAGTATTCCCTTTCTTATTGCCGCGAGTTATAATAAATAGTATATCATCATTTGCGTCATGTATACATACATTATTATATAATATTACCATTTCTTACTTTAATTATTACTTATTTATTTAGTTTATAGCGTAAATATCCATTATTTTGTACTTGATTTATATGTGTATATTTGAATATTTGCATAACAATGTTTGTTTATATAACGTGCTTGTCTTTAAATACAATGTTTGATTAGATGTGTTGTGATGATGATATGCCTTGTTTGTGTGGAATTGGGATGAAGTGGGTCACCATTGGGTTTGTGAGGGCGGTCTTCAACCATGTATGGGGAGATCGGCGTCCCCGTGTGCATATGATGATATGGATTTTATAAAAAACCACAGGGTGGCCTCTTGTTGGTATGGAAAGAAAAGAGAGTATAAGAAAAATGAGAGGGCTAGTCAAGTGAGAATTAGACCGGTCGGCCATGTATAGAGGATCGGCTCCCTGGTGCACACGTCATAAGAGGATGAGCCATGTGAGAGGATGGCTCATCGGGGTTTTCGGTGACGCCACTGATCAATTTCCACTTGTTTGATTAACTGAAAGTGTAATTACTTGTGGATGCTGATGTTGTGCCATATGCTTGACCGGCTATGTATTCATTTTAGTGCTTTAGGAAGCATTTCGTGTGAATGCTTGTATTATGCAATAATTACCATTCATTATTAAACTCACATTTCTTGTGTTTAACTTTTCCAGGAAGTAGATTCTTCTTTGTCCCGGCTAAAGCTCTGTTTCCTTCACCGCAGAGCTAGGAAAGAAATTTCCTAATTCCAGTAATTATTTAAATTGTGAGCATTATGTACAAGAACTTATTTATTTGTATTTGATATTGAACTCCGCAGTTGTAGGATTGTGAAAACCCCTATTATAGGATTATAATAATTCCAATTTTGTACGAGTGTGATCATGTTAAGCGATAACTTTAGGTTGATGATTGACAGATCTATATGTACATGTATGGACCAGTTAGCCCATATTATAGATATTGTGTAATGTAATTGTTCCTAGTTATGAAATATTTGAAATGTTGGATTTGGGTTAGGATAGAGAACGACCGTAAGATTTGTTATATAGAATATGGGTTTACTGTTCCTGTGATTCATTTCGAATTGATTAAGTTTAGTTGTTCAGGTTTACTATGGGCTTTAGGGACCTTATGCTTACTTAGGCCCTAATGCTGGTCCGGCCCATGGATTTGGGTCATGACAGGAGGCTGGATCACAAATGCATATTATTGATTTTGTGTTGCACAAAGGCATGCCTTTCTTGAGCCTTAGGCCTAAAAAGGTGCACGTTTATACCCAGAGGTGATAACTTAAGTGAAGTCACCTGCTTGAGGACTTTTCGGCACAAGCCGTTGAGCCTTCAGTAAGGTGCGCCTAAAGCGCACCTTTAATAACTATTTTACCACCTTGATGCTTTTTGTAAAGTAAAGCCCGCCCAATTTGGGCTTGATAAAGTTGCTATCTTTATTCAAAATCAATATATAAAAATTAATTATTGACTTCTATATTTTTTTTCCCCAAAATATTAGAATTGACTTGACTCCTACATTTGATGTTAATATGATATTACGCTAAACAAAAAGCTTGTTACTGTTTGAGATTATTTTTCAGCAAATAACTTTATGGTTATAAGTTCTCTTCCTTAAAACTTCAGACATATGGTGAATCCTTCATTGGTAATTGATTCTCCTTAGCTATAAAATGCTACCTTTTGTATGACTTTGAGTTTCCGTGATAAAATATCAAATAACATTAAAATAAAATGTGAAAAGATCTCAATTGACTGACCCAGGATTTGAAACATATACAAGACCACAATGGAAGCGGAAGTTTCTGGCCTGTTCCAAAAGAAGTAGCACATATTATGATGTTTTTAAACAAACAAGAGTGAGTATTTTAATAAGAATAAGAACACAAGCTACACTTTAGGCGCACTCATGAGGAACTATTTGAAATTATTAAGAGTGTTTTGTTTGTAAGGGTGTCGAATTGGGTTAACGAGAACACACAATACAATTAAGGTCAACATAAACACGACACGAAAATTAAACGAGTAATCTGAACATGATACATATAACCAATTTAATTAAATAGATCATATATGAGTCAAAAAATTCAACCAAATTTTACTAAATGAGTCATATACGGGTCAAAAACACGACACATATAATCCGCATAACCGGCCTAATCCACATATTATATATAAATTACATTTTTATCCTTAAATAAACGGATTAGACAAGTCAACCTGTTTAAATCCGTATCATATACAGGTCACATGTTTGAGGCATGAACACATTTAGATTAATCCCTAACTCGTTTAGTTTTTGCGTTAGTTGAATCGTATTCCCATGTCATAACCCATTTTAACCCCTCCCCCTTTTTTGGCTACTTTTAACTTTTGATTTCATTTTTTTTGTTTTGAACTTAATAAGTCAATTTAAAAAATAAATAGTTAGTGTTTGGCAAAATTATTTATTTAAATTTTTTTTTTGAACTTAATAAGTCAATTTAAAAAATAAAAAATAAATAGTTAGTGTTTGGCAAAATTATTTAAAAATAATTGTAAATAGTTTAAGTGTTTGGTTAATAGGTACAAGTAACTTAATTTATCACAATTACCAAAAAGGATATATTAATTAAATAGGAGGTTTAAGGGTTTGTTAAGAACAAAGATAGTGCTGGTAGTTTTAAAAGTTTTAAAGATATTTCACTAGTTCAAAGAGTAGTTTAAAGAAGTAAATATTTTAAGTAGATTTTTCGATTTAAAAGCCTAATCAAACATTATTCTATTTGTGACTTTCTACATAAAAGTAGGTTTAACCAACTTAAAAGCAAACCAAACACCCTCTAAATCAGTCCAACCTACCTGTTGATAAGACAATGGATGAATCACTGCTCCACTAACTTCCAAGAAGTGATTAGGAGTTATAGAGTGTAAATTTTGAACCTGACAAATATCAAGTTTGAATATGTTAACATTAAGCAACAGGAAAAATCAAGCTGATGCTTTTTCACTTTATTAGTTGTTAAATGCAATACAAACGTACCATGAAATTCTATCAACTAAGGACCAAATCATATTGTAACAAATATATATGATGTTTACTAAAACTCTCACTTCTTTCTATTGTATTTGTAGGCCTTGAAAGAACATAGAAGAAATGATTTACTCAACCATTCTTGTATATATAAACAAATATAAACCTTTGGCCTTGCCCTTTGTACTGATATACCATAAAACCAATAAGTTGATTTGAGATTTCGCTATCAATGTCTTGACATAAAAAATTAATATTTCTGGATAAAGTCGATTAGGATAAAACTCCATCTTCTAGAAACAGTACATGCACCTTTTGATGCATTTGGTTCAACCCAAATTATATATATCACATTTGATGTTAGGAATGTAGGATCAAGTTCAGTCCATAAAATGAACAAGTGTATTTCTAAGATAGCTACACACTGTTTTCCAGTCATGAAAATTATAGCAAGTAAAACCAATGTGAATTTATTATTAATGGAGGATAAATAAATCGAGAATAAGTCTTACCACTATGTTTATGGTCAAGGATGTGCCACCCCTTTCAATTTGTATTTCAATCTTTTGATCGACATTATCATCAAGCAATGTCTCCAGTTTCAAAAATTGAGTGGTTATCTGCATTAGAGTTGTTTAACTATATAGTCAACATTTCAGAACTATATTATGATGACAAATAACCAAAACTTGCACATTTGGCATGAAATGTTTTCCAATAAACTCCTTATGAAAGAGGTGAAGTAGAAACCAAGTGATGTACATCAATAGAATTCCTACTAATAAGTTCGAAAAATTAAGTAGAGTACAAGATCCAACTGTCCATGGCTCCAATAGACAAAAAAAAAAAAAAAAAAAAAAAAAAAAAAAACTGTCCATGGCTCCAATAGAACCAAAAAAAAAAAAAAAAAAAAAAAACAAATACCGACATACAAGTTACCCATCATCATTTAGCTGTAAATACACATGACAAATCTCAAAAAAAAAAAAAAAAAAAAAAAAAAAACAAATAGCCAGACCAACAAGTTACCCATCATCATTTAGCATGTAATCACACATGACAAATCTCAACATATATTCTTCTTTATATTTTTCATTACAATACATGAAGCATGCTTAATATTTCATTTGAGCATGAAACTCTTTTGACCATATGACGTAATATTTTACGTCATAGCATAGTTGACAACTACAAAAATTTGCAGATGGTGAATTTGTTGAAAGTTTTTTTTATCTTTGAGATGATATGAAAGTATAAGGTTGCTTTCATTTTTGTTAGGTACACACACACACATTTATGCTAAATGTTGAAGTTTTTTGTTAATTTAAATTAATATGCTTATGTTATCATAATGATATGACCTATCAACTATGATCAAGCGGATGGTTGAACAAACAAAAGGTAAACTTCAACCATTCAATATATCTAAGAATAATCTTTCTAGTTATTATAAAGACTCAACCGTAAGCATGTATCAACTGTTAATCCCATAATATTGCAAACCTATTCATAGTAACAAAAGCTCAAAGGTAAAAAGGAAACAAGAGGACATACTCAAATAAACACAACTCAACTAACTAAGCCTTAATTCCAACAGATAAGAAAAAATAAAAGAAATTAAAAAGAAAGAGAGGGAATGAATATGAATCTAAAGCTAAAAGAGTTTTATCATTCATAATTCCATTTAACAACAAAATTATAACACCAAATATCATCAAAATTTTCTTGTTACAATGAGACAGAGTGTCATGTGATTTTAGGCAAAACTTACTTCCCCATTCACACGTACTAGCACATCCCCTGGCTGTAACTGCAGATGAGCCGGACCACCTGGAACCTGGTATCCAAGATCATAAGAATTGAAGTGGAAAATAATTAATCATAAATAAACATTAGGATGATTAAATTTAAATTACAATTTTATACAATAGTAAACAAAAAAAAATGTGCTCACCACAGAGTGAACAACAAGCATTCCAGTTTCTCCTGGTAGAGAAGCACAGCGTACCATCTACACAAGCCAAGAGTATGAGCCATGAGTCACTGACTCACAGTTCGTAACCATTATCCATGAGGAATAACCACAAAATGGACAAGTAATCCAAATTCACCTCTTGAAGAAGCAGGATTAGGCATCTATGTACAGCAATCACATAATTATAGTCTTAACACTTAATTATCCTTGAGGAAGAAGTACATACCTGCTCTGTTTCACGTTGAAGACCAAGACGCCGAACTTCATCAAATCCTTTATAGTGAAATGTCACCTAAATTATAAATCATTAGTACAACATACAAAAAGAAAACCCCAGATACAAAAAGAAAACCCCAAACATTGCAATCAAATGCACAACTATCAAAACCTGGATCTTGAAGAGTAAATATAAACATGCACTCAACAAAGAAGCATTTTTAGAGAGGTCATTGTTGACCATTTTTTAGACGTGCATGAAACCTCAATTTCCTAGTCTGTCTTCCTTAAGGCCAAGTTTTCTTCAAGAATTTCAAATATATCATGTTCCCCTCCTCTCCACATCCCACACAACAACAAGAACTAAGCCAAGAAAAAAAAATCCCTCAAATGTGTCGAAGTTTGTTAGACAACCATTCAACTTACGACACAGAAACCCACTAGTGGGCACATCGAATCTTTTTTTGTCCATTAGATTAGTTTCCAATTATTCTCTTCATCATTCAGGGTAAAGCAGCTTGGTAAATCATGGGGATATCCTCAATGCCAAGGAATAACTTGGGTTTATGTGAGAATTGCACAAGCCAACTTTACTTTTCACTGAAGGCAAATTTAGGAGATTACTTTAGCACAATATTAGTCAAAAAAATAATTGGAAGAGAAAATTTATTCTAAACATTTATATCAAGCAGTGAGATCATTAAATCAATATTATAATCAAGAAACACCCAGAGAAAATAAAAGGTAACTACAATCGACTGTAAGGTGATGACAAGGTTTGCACTGTGGGCCTGTGGCCCATGCAGGAATTCCAATCTATAAGTAATTTCCATTTAAACTACACTACTTTGAGGGGAAGATCCATAAATAGTGACTCCTGTTGTCACATTATCATAAGAATTTCTATTTCAATTTTACTCGATTTATTAACATGTGTTGCATTCTTTAGACAAGACCTTGACAAGTTGATTCATAAAACTTGTATTTTCAACTCAATGCCTGATTTTCCAACTACCTCTTTTGAATGGCATATTATCCTCCCATATGAACATTTATAAAGACAAACAAATATATATAACATATCATTTAAACAAACACAAGTAAGAGACTAGAGACCAAGGGGAACAAAAGACATATTTTCGAGAACATATCACTACTAAATCAAGTCAGGACAAAGATTACAGAGTTAGAATATAAAAAAAAGGTACATTGTTAACCAAAAAATTTCCATGCTTTTGTTGAGCAATTCTGATATAATGCTTAAATAATTGCAGAACACGTAAATATAACAACAGACCTGAAGTGTACCACGTGGTATTAGAGCTGCCTCCCCTTTACCTGTATTAGAATCTCTGCTGTTTTGAATAAGTCTCAATGCCCTAACAACCTGCAAATTACATACTTCAAATTTATTGTCCAAAAAGTAAAACTACCTAATTTTGTTCAAGACCTTGTGCTCATGTTTAAGTTTTATTTGTTGACAGCAGCCAAACTTCTGCAAAAATATAATGTCAGATCTAAAACCCTTGATAATTCAACAATAAATTAAATCACCAGCATCAAGGCGTTCTTCAATTCCTCAATATAAAGTATCTAGATTCTTTCAAATTTAAAAATACAAAAAAAAAAAAAAAAAAAAACTAAGATTCTTTCAAATTTAAAAATACAAAAAAAAAAAAAAAAAAAGAAGTTAAAAAAAAAAAAAAAAAAAAAAGAAGTTAAAATTTTGCTTTACTACCCCACAAATAATTCTCAAAATAACCACAGACGGCAGTTAACTATTCACCCTTCAAAAGTCAGACCAACTTGGTTACAGGTAAAATGCAATACCACACTCTTTAAAACATCAACAGTAGAGATTTATTTGGTTTCTCACCATTTTTTTCTAAAAAGTAAAGAAAAAAAATTTTCCATTACTACTCAAATAATTCTCCAAAATCCAAACTATAGAATTATAAAGATGTTCAATTGACACAGGGCAGCTTAGGGGCTCGCTAGAAAAGGTTATTTTGGCTGATTTTGAGTTTATTTAAGGGCCAGAATGGAAAACTGTGTTGGGGAATCTTTAGGGTTTGTGTGGGAATAGGTTAAGGAAGCAAAAAGAACACAAAATGAAGGGTTATGGCGCTCTTATGGCACTTTGAACAGTGTCAGTGAACAATACCATGAATACTGACGAGAATAGTAATTGAAGAATAGTACTTGTGAATAGCAATTCATAAATGTTTGAACGGCAAATAGAAGGATAAGTGTTTAGGCTTCTCCAATAAACATTCTTAAACCATAAAATACTAAGAAATACTCTATGATTTCCCCCAATAAACCCTATATAAGCATGAAACCATAAAATACTAAGAAATACTCTATGATTTCCCCCAATAAACCCTATATAAGCATGAAACCATAAAATACTAAGAAATACTCTATGATTTCCCCCAATAAACCCTATATAAGCATGAAACCATAAAATACTAAGAAATACTCTATGATTTCCCCCAATAAACCCTATATAAGCATGAAACCATAAAATACTAAGAAATACTCTATGATTTCCCCCAATAAACCCTATATAAGCATGAAACCATAAAATACTAAGAAATACTCTATGATTTCCCCCAATAAACCCTATATAAGCATGAAACCATAAAATACTAAGAAATACTCTATGATTTCCCCCAATAAACCCTATATAAGCATGAAACCATAAAATACTAAGAAATACTCTATGATTTCCCCCAATAAAATGGGAAACTGCCCAGCCTCCTATTATATTTCGACCAACTTGTTTCATTAGAGTTAAAAAGCAGTAAATGTGGGCTATTGATACTCCTGATAATGCTCAACCTTTTAATGGCTATGCTAAATTATCCTATTAAAATGTATAGTATCAACATTAACTTTTTTCTGCAATCCTAAAATTACACTAAGTTTTCCTATTAAAAGCAACTTAATGGCTTCTCATTTCTCTGCATAGAATTGCCTAACTAAATAAAAAAAATCATTAGATGAATCAGACTTCGTTCAGAAAGTAACTCCTGAACAGATAGATAATCCAATGTAACACTCAACATTAACCAGCTATTGCTAATAGATGACCAAAACAAGCAAGGTTTTAACAATAGTTGTTACATTCACCAGCTACGGCTACTAATACTGTTATCAGTAACATTTTTCAAAAACTACTGCAAATAAGGCAAGTTAAATGATCTCATTATTTTATTACCACAAACTTGTCATCTCAGCTTAGATTTAAATTTCGCCAATTACAAGACTAAGAAAGAAGCATTATGAAATAATCAAATCATAATAAAATTCTTACTCGCACTAAAGGTAAAAAGAATGCTGATGAAGTTGATACCCTGCCCCCAGCATTTAGGGCCACTGCCCTACCTTGTCGATCAATAACTGGTGAACCGCTAGAACCACCCTTAGTTCCGGATGCTGCCTAAAAGTAATGTGTAAAACAAGTAAAGGACATTTATACCATAAATATAATCGTAAGATAGCATACTTTTTGCTATATGAAACAAGTCCATTAACAGCACAAAGATGTGGTTTTAGTTTCTTCATAGTATGTCCAATGGCAAAGTAATGATTCCTGATATGTATTTTGGTGTCCAAAAGGTCCCTAAGAAAAACGTGAATTTGAAGACCAAATTATTACGAAGCGCTCAAACTGTAAAACTACAGAATATCAGAGAAATTTATTTCACAACTATAGCACTTCTGCTCCATTCTGGAAATTTAATGGAATTACTACTTTATATTTTCTTTCCAAAATGAGAAAGAAAAATGTAAAAATTCAATCCAAAAACTTGAACATATTCTCATGTGCATAAACATCACAATAAAAGAATATAACAAACTGGACAATAACAATGATGACCAAGCTAGCAGAAAAGCAATAATGGCTACAACAGTGCACCTCATATCAGCGAGTTTCTACATTAGGTGAAAATCATCCTACCTAAAACTTTAGGCATTATGTGTAGAAGCCCAGAACTATGTAAGACCATGCCAAAATTTTATCTAAGATCCGCCCAATTCTATTTTGAGGTCAATACTTCTGTTAGTCAATTGTCTTCACAAGGATAAACAGTATTTTTCTATATGTGAGAACCAATATAACATTAACTGCTTTTTTGTACATTATGTGCTCAAATAGCAGTAAATTTCATGCCCCTCCTTACTTATATTGCTTCTTTTAGAATCCTTTTAGAAGCCCCAAGCCCATGTCCCCCCAGCTATTCATATTTGGTGGAAGTAGTGCTGTAAAACTTAAGGACACGGAAGAGGAAAGTAAGCACAAAGTTTTGTGACCCCATGGTGTCCATGCAAATTTCTATGATGTCTCCATGATTTCGAAGGAGAGTTGCTAGTTTTGAAGATAAAGTTGTCTTTGCCTGTAAAAACAGGTAGGAACGTACTAAATTGTCAACTAGTTTTAAACTACTAGTCATAAGAGTATTTGGAGGTTTCTAACATATCATAGACCAAAGAAGCTATTCAACCTCCTTAAAATAATGCTCCTCAGAAGGTTTCCTTCTAACTATTATCACCTCTTCAGAAACTCATTTGATAAACACTTGAATTGTCCCAAAAACCTCTAAAATGATTTTTCCTCACAAGTCTAATTGCAAACACCTCTCAACCTCACACGCATGTTGCTGCCTATACAAATGCATTTTCAAATTTAACCGGATCATCGTAAATTTTGTTATAACACCAAATAATGAAATATGCTCATCACATTCTTCAATCAGTAGCATAAATAATTAACTACTTACTTGAATGTAAAATGTATTGAAGTCGTTATAACCATCCCTGCACCAAAAAATATTCATTATTAACCACTATGATGAAGTGTTTGAAGAACCAATGATCACTGGAGAGAACTACCCTACATAATGAGCAAATCAATATTAGAAGCAATAACTAATTCTTTAATTGTAATTTTTTAGAGTATGAAGGCTTGGCACCTTGTCCAAAAGCCATAACATAGGCCAAGAACTTTATCCTCAATCCACATTCTAACTTTATCACAACTTAAGAAAGTAATCTTGCATCATTAAGCTCAAGCCAACATCCTTACCTTCATTATTTTAACAAGAAATTGTGCATGTATGCAAACATATAAGAGAAAAACAAAAGATTATCATGTTAAATGCAAGGATCTATGATTTTACTAAAAACTGTAGGAACTTCAAGCTTTTTTGGGGAAAACATGCAACTGTGAATATGATGATTTTGTGTGGATTTATGCATTACATATATAGCTTGCAGCATTAAAACCTGAGCCAAAATTACCTTAATAACAACCCTATCATGCAATCAATGATAACATTTTGAAAGATATAAATTGGTTTAAGATCATCCAATATGATCAAAATGGTTGAATCGACAATTGGATGATAAAAACACTTATATAGATGTAAGCATCATAACCATCACTTACATAGAATGCTATATAAAGTCGATCACATACCATTGAAAGGAACCTTTTACTTAAAAGAGTATTGGGCTAAAGACCAAAAAATTACTATACTTTCTATATGTAGGAGCATCCCGATCCAAACGAGCAATGGTACCAGCCAAAATGGATACCTGTGAATTAAATTTTAAATTGAAAATATCACTAAGCAGAAGGATTAAGGGTAACATGAGAGCAGAGTAAGCCAAATTTTTATAACATCACAATCATATGACTCAAGGAGCACAAATGAAAACAACGGAGGGAGAAGACACAACAACAACTACAAGGAGAGTTTCAAATAAGATGATGAAATTATTATATTTGAGTGAAGTCCAGTTTTCTTAAAACAATAATAATAAAAAGAAGAAGAAGAAGAAGACGACCATAATTATAGAAACCAGATTATTGTCCTAACAACTTATCACGGCACAATCATGAAAAAAAATAAGTTTATAACATGTTTGTTAGCTGTAATCAAGATTTTGGCCTCCTCTACAAGAGTCGGTTAGGACCCTAGATTCTCACAGCTAAAACACTTCTATTCAATTCAAAAACGAAGTAGGGCCTGTCAAGGTTACAGCATAGAAAATTACTAACAAGTCCTACACAATATTAAATCTTCTAACCAGCCTTAAATGAAATATAAACTATTACTGATTGCAAAGATGTCTTCTCCCATAGATAGGGTAGAATAAAAGATTCAACCTCTAGCTATGCCTGTGAGGAATATGAACTACATCAAAGAGTAGTGTTGTACACAAGCAATTGTTATTATTAACTTATTGATGACTCGACATAAATTTCAATGGCATTTTCCTATTTAGAGAATTAAACCTCAATCAAGAAATTCTTCATTTTTAGGGAGTCCTATTTCCTGTTCAGTGGCTATCTTTGGTGCTTGAAGAAGTGCACTCCATTCCTGTTTGCTTGAATTGAAAATTTGATTGAATAATTACATTTTCTCATTCTCCTCCTCATATTTCTTTGCTGCTCCTATACTCCTTTTCTCTTTCCTATACTGCTCTTCTGTTTCTTCTCATTCCCATTGTTTTTGTATGTTTTGCATTCTCTTTTTTTTTTGTTTTGCATCGTACCACTAAAACCATCTAGTAAAACCATTTATCATCTCTTGAAAAGAGGTGCACCATCCTGTGGTTTTTCTTTTGCTTTTTCCTATTTCTCGATATGACTTTGTAGCCATGCAAGGAAGCCAGACAAACTAAGCATTTTCCAACCTGAGGTCGTCTATATTTCATCTACATCAGCATTGAACAACAAATGAAACCATGAGGATTAGATAACAATTTTTATATTTAGTTCAATCTGTAGGCATTAAACTGAACTTCAGCAAGAAGGAACTTCACGTGATCAATGTGACTACACCACTAGCCTCTTGAAACATCTCTTGCAAAAAGTGTAAGCAGATCAAAGGTTCTGAATCCAAATAAGGTCAAGGGTGAGTGCGCTAATGTGATCTCAGCGACTAGTAAACAATTAAATGAAAATTTCAAACAGATAATTGTAATAAAAGGATGTCATGCAAAAACTAATAGCATGAGCCATTGCAGTATGCACAATGATAACATATATAAAGAAATGGAAGCAAAAATTAGTTTTATCAAATAAAGTAAATAAGATGTGAACAACACCTGGCAAGTTGACTATTGGGCATCCAACGTCAAAATTTACACCTACTAATATTCTATGCAATCAGTGGATTGTCCTGCAACTAGGATAATTGCTTATTATGCTCCCAAATTTCTCACATTTCATATAGCAATACAGAAACAAATGTAATGACCAACAACAGAAACCAATCATTGCCAATAAATTATATTCTTCTCAAAACACAAATTCTCCATCTACTGTAAATTGAATATGTAAATCCTCACGTTGCACTAAGTAATAAATAAACTAAGGTTCAGAAAACTACATGACATGTGAAGCACAGTAAATACCTTCTCACAGCTATCATTACCAACAACTCGGATATCGAGTCCAACACAAGCAGCCTCAGGAGCAAGAGGAATCTCCTCATAGTTCAGAAATTGTATTGCACCAGGATCATAATGATAGAAGCCGAAATCATGGACCTAGGTAAAATTGAAAAAGTGTCCGTCAAAAAAATATATAAATAATTACAAATAGATGCAACAAAGTTAAGCAGGTTATGCACGTATCCTCTAAGCAAGTCAGCATGCAGGAGGAAAAACAGAGACAGCGATGGATATGTTTTGCAGCCCAGTTATATGATCATTAATCATGAGTACTACACATTGTAAATTAGATAGACTTGATTAACCAATTTCCCATACCATAAACCCCTCAATCCAAATAGCAGGTAATGTTAACATCACTGAAGAATAATTGGTACACAGAATAACCAGATCCCATTTTGTGCAAGACATTTGAACCCCATATAAGGACCTAGTAAAGGGGTAACCATAACATGTAGAGATGTAAGAGTGATCAGAAAAGGGCACTTGTGGGTATGAGAAGAACAATAAAGCAAGATTCGAAGCAACAAACAGATTCTTTTTTAGGGTTAGTTGAAAAAATGTTTACGATGCTTACTTTTCATCATAAGAAGACAACTATGGTGCTTCTAATTAGGTTCTAAACATCTAAATTTTTTTACCTTGAAACAATTTTGCTTTTAACTGTGCATTCAAAAAAATTTTTTTTTACATGCTTACCTCTTCCCACCAGAGCAAGTATCTGAACATATTTTGAGTTTTACCATTACTTTTTCATTCTGAAACTCTATATTAATGATTCAAGGAATACACGTTCTGTCTATGAACATTTCAACCTTCCCTTAGTGGGTTTTCTTTACTGCCTATCCACTTAATTTCATTCTTCTTTCACTTAATTTTATTCATCTTTCATTTAAAATAATATATCTGTAGAAGGATTTATTTAAGGCAAATGAAATATAAAGAGTCAACTCACTGGATCTCTGTATATAGGATATACAGGAATTTCTTCATGGTTTACAAATATCGCTTGTGCAACTACAGGGCCTACAACACCAAAAGAATAAATAAAGATTTAAAACAAACAACTTTATACATAAAGGCTACACTTTATATGAGTCAACTAGCCAAATAAAAATTGAGAAGAAAATAAATATCTACCGTATTAGGAACGAAGAAACGAAGAAATGAAACAATTCCATGAAAAAAGAGTATAAAAGAGAAAACAAAATAGTATCTTCTGAAAACAAAAAGAATAAATTTGAGAACCCCACATCAAAACAAGGCAGTTTTAAGGCTCGCAACTAGTTCTCTCACTCATTTATTAAACAACTAGTTCTCTCACTCATTTATTAAACGAGCTATCAAGCTCAATTACTTAAATTTATTGAAAAAAAATGGAGCAATCTTGTTCCAAGCCAAGAGCACCTCACTAGCAGCTCGACTAATTTACAACCCTACCCATATCCCAATTAGGTTAGTAACAAAAATAACAAAACTTTATGAAAGAATATGGAGACAAATGAAAACTGGCCAAACAATTATGGTAGTCACATAGAAAATAAATAAAAACCACAATTACATAATAAATATTATCTAAAAAGTACCTCAATTTTTTCTAACTACTTATTTGATTGATATCAATCTTTGCTAAATAAAATTCTTGCACAGTTATATATTGAGTTATATATATTTTTTCTCTAATACAAGTATTTGAGTTTTTATTGAGTCCTGTTGAATGGCAAAACTTGTGCTTGGCACAATCTCATCAAACTATCCATAATGCTCTCAACATGTTTAATGGGGCTGATTTTGAAACGCAATATACACACAGAGCGTTTTAGACATTTTGACCTTCTACAATGAAAATTGTGCCAATACCAATCTAAGCCAAATATATTTTTCATTATTTTTATTGTGGATATACACATGTAAAAGAAATCATTAAAAATTTAAATTTACGTTAGTTTTGTTCTTCCATGATGAATTTAAAATTATCCGTATATTTTAATTTTTTGTAATTTTTTAAGCATTATTTGTAAATTCATAAACATTAGTTCCATTTAATTTTATTTTTAAATTTGACAATGTTTGCGTTTGTACAGAGTTAAGAAAATGAGTGAATCACATATATTTTAAGAAAATATAAGAGTAATTTTACAAAGTTTAATGGAAATACTTTTCTAAAAGTAATGGGAAAAAAAGTTAAAAACGATCAAATATAACCAAAGCGAGGGAGTAAAATATTGATAAGAATAAGAATATTTTCACAAGTATAAAGATTTAAATATGCAATATCAGATTCAGATAATATTGGATAAAAAGACAAAATTATCAAGGCTCTTTTCAGGGAAAGTGCCATTCATATTGTCTAGCATTTGGAACACTTATAAAGACCAGTTTTCTAGAAATTACGTTGCACGTTATTTGTGCTTGTTGATTTTTATACGTTGCAAGTAAATATAATTTAATTTATATATATAAGTTTTCATTATTTTTTATATAAATTATAATATTATGAACAATTTATATTACTAAAAATCTAAGAGCATTCACAAAATAAGAAAAATAACATTTGACGAAATAATAAAATAAAAAAATTGAATAATTAAATAACTTATTAAGGAAATAATATATTTATAATAATAAAACATTATTATAATTTCAGAATCAAATATTTATGAAAATAAAATTACTTATTAACCAATTTAAATTTTTTTATAACAATTTACATTTAATTAACTTAAGGTTTTTCGTATATAATATAATACCATAAACTATTTATATTACTAAAACTTGAGAAACCGGTATTAGCTATTATAATAATTAAAATATTAATCAATGTTTCAGAGCATCATTTATAATTTTAGTATTTTCTTTTTTTTTTTTTTTTTCAGAGCCATCATTTATGAATTTAGTAATTTTCTTTTTTTTTTTTTTTTTACTTTTTTGCTAAATATGTGAGCATAATAACTATAAATTTTATGATTGTCTTCCTTTGAAGAAAAAAAAATCCTTTTAATGTTTAATATTTTTTTTTTTTTTTTTACTTTTTGCTAAAGTATGTGAGCATATAACTAATTTTATGATTGTCTTCTTTGAGAAAAAAAATCCTTTTAATGTTATATAGTTTGCTAATATAACGTGTTATCTCATATTTTATATACATTTCTAGTGAATTTTATTTTTTACTTTATATCAAACAATAAATCTTATAATATATTCCTTAATAAATAATAATCAATTACATTTATTTTATTTTTTTGTAAAATTAGTTAGATGTAGTAAAATCAAATTAAATATTTATTAAAAACAATAATTGAACATATTATATTCTTACCATAATTAATATATATCTTACACAGTATAATATAAACAATTAAAATTAAATTATCTTAATTTTCAACCAATAAAATTAAAATGATATAGTATATAATATAATTTCTAATTTCTAGTTTTATCCAATAGAATTTATATTAAAATAGTTAATTAATATGATCAATCAAAATTATATTACCTTTATTTTTTAACCAATCAAATTAAAATCCTTAATAATTTTTTGTCATCTATAAACTTAATAATCACAAAAATCTATAACACCACTATATAGATTAATCTATAACACCCAATAATTTATGGCTGTCATCACCACAGAACACAGCCAACAATGACGGGCTACCCAGGATACCATTTAATTTTATGCATTTTTTTTATATAAGTTAAAAATTATTATTAAAAAAACGTTTCTTCAAAAAAAGTTAAAAACGTTTTCGGAAAAAAAGAAAAAGGAAAAACGCAGCCGGAGTCCATCCATAATTTTCTGCTCTGGCAGAGTGGCAGCAGCAATTTTTTTCTTCTCAACAACAACTCTACCATTCTGTAAATAATATGATTGAGATCGAATGAAACCGTACCAGGCTTGACGACATGGCGATTGGTGAGGATGATGCCACGTAGCTTATCGACAACGAATCCTGTGGCATAGCCGGATGAAGGAAGTTCGGTGTCAAAGGCGCGACAGGCAGTGGTACGTAGCACAACCACCGCAGGAACCACCTTGTTGATCGTCTCTCTCCAATCGGCGGCATTGTCCGTCTTCTCCTTAAAAGGCACATCGTTCAAATCCTCGACATCCTCATCCTCGCTCGATCCTATCCTGGTAGAGTCCCTCTCCCATTCCAATTCCATTTCTCTCTATCTGAAAAAAGAATTCGATTGACTTGGAATTTGAAGTCTTCTTCATTTATTAGTTCGTAGTAGTTTCTTGTTTTGGTAGTTTGTGTTTGTCTTCGTCAATCTTACTAAAAAATTGCAATTGCAGATTGAGAAATGAAATCCGATGGGCCATTGGCCTATATTAGGTCATTTAAAATTATAAATGGGTCCTTTTTTTTAATAGAAAATCATATAAATGGGTTCTTAGCAAGGAATAGTAATTATGCTAAGTAATTGAGTTAAGATATCACATGTAAAAATAAAAATAAATTAGTTAGTCTCAAGATTTGATCTATTTATATGGTTACAATTTCAGAATTTGTAAAATTTCATGTAATATAATTTTATTTTGTCTAATTTTTACCACAAAATATTGTATACTTTGTTGAATTTAATTGACAAAATTTTTATTTTTTAAACATATTAACTTGTTGTGTCAATTTTACGTTAATTTTTGTTAAAAAAAAAATAAGTTATGATTTGTTTACTTATTACTAATGGATTTTGATTTTTAATCACTGTTAGAGCATTTCAAATGCTACAGCGAATTGCTTTTATTTAATTGCCAAATCAAAAAATAAAAACATTTTTTAAAAAATGCAATCAAATGCTAATATATATTTGGTATATAAAAAAAATTAATAGACATTTAATAAATAGATGTTGTCAATCATGCATCCTATTGATATAGGGTCTTCTAGATAATGTTCCTCTATGATTGGCATATTAAATTATGGACTCAAAAAAGCAAAAAAAAAAAAAATGTAAGAGGATACCATTCCAACTCTCTATTCCATATAACACATGTTTTTATTAAAATTTGACTTTCTATTCATATGACACATGTTCTTAGGGATGACCAAATCTCAATCTGTTGGATATCTGTTCCGATTTGATTCGAATAGAGCGAATAAAATCTAATCCGAACAGTGGTGGATCGAATATAAATTTTAAAAATAAAATGCACGTGAATATGGATCGGATACGAATATAGTATAATCCAATATGAATCCAATTCGTGAAAGATAATTTTGTTTTTTTCTTATATTTCTAAAATTGTTGATTATAATTTTAGAGTTGCAGTTGCCTTTATTCTCTTTTCTTTCTTTCTTTTCCATTTATATTTTAAATCATTATCTCCAACTATTTCACCATTTTCACATTTTTTTAACCTCTACTTCAAACAAAATAATATAAGTCTGAACATTACGACAACTAGCATGATTTCTTTTTCGCTTAATAATTCTTAATGTTTCTTCTAATTGTCATAGTATATAGTATTTTAATTATTGTTAAGAAGTTTTGTATTTTTAAGAACAATAAATAATATTAATTTTTATTAAATTATTATTTTCTTTTTCTTTTTCTTTTAAACATTATAAAATTGGATATCCGAATCTAAGCAGAGCGGATATGTGCGTGGATATCTGAATATCTTTACAAATCGGATGTGAATTTTACATAATCTAATTTGAATCCATCCATGATCATCCTTACATGATCTTATTAAAAATTTAGCCTTCTATTTCGTATGACATCACGGTTAACATTAGAGATGTGCTTATTAAAATCGGTTTAGACATTGATCCGGCTAGAAAATGAGATGGAAGGATCGTTTATATATATATATATATATATACACACACTAAGGAATGCTTGATGACATGGTCTAACATTAAAATATTTAATTTATTGAATTGGAATTAAATTATATTTTAAAGGAAACAATATATAATGATTTTATAATAGTATTAATTAATGAATGTTGTTAGCTACTACTCCTTTTGATTTTATTAATTATATATTTTTTACAATTTTTATAGAAGTTAAATGATTAACAGTGTTCAATTGATGATAGTCACATTCTAAAAAAAATAATGATAATTGTTAAAGGGATCTTTCGAATTTTCCTGGGAATTAAATACTTAATTATGTTCAATTAAGTATAGTTTCTTTTTAAAAATTTTTTAAAAGTTTTTAGTGAGTTAAATTAATATCAATACTAATACAAAATAAGATAACTTCTATTAATTAATATTAGAGAGCTAAAAATTAGACATTAAATTTCTAATTTAATGAAAATATTAATGATTTAGTTAAAAAATAATAATTTCTTATTTTATTTTTTAGCCAATCAAGAAGACAATTTACCATTATGAAATTTAAATATAAATACCCAAAGCAGTATAAAACCAGATTGAAAAAATTGATTTATCCAATTTTTTGGTACCTCTATTGATTCAAAATTCTGCTACCTACATATTAAATATCCTAATGCATGAATTAAAGTTAGGTTTATCTAGTTCATTCCAACAAACTAATTCAGCAATTCTTCCATATATACATAAAGCAAGAGAGACAAATAAATAAATAAATAAAATAAAAATAAAAACAAAAAAACTCTGCTAAAATATAGCAATAATAAATAATAATACAATTTTATCAACAAAGAATTTAATTATTTGACATGCTATTTTTCAATAACCTCTTCTTCTTTTACTCATCATCAAGTGGCTTATCAGTGGATCTTAACAAGTTATATGCAAATGCTCCTGCAATGGCTCCAACAATTGGCCCTGCTATATATACCCATAATCCTTTATATGTATGCTTAACTATTGCTGGCCCCAGGCTCCTTGCTGGGTTCATTGAAGCTCCTGAAACTGGTCTGCAAGATATAATTATTTCTTAATATTCATTATTAATTGTGCAATTATATAATTTTGAACAATCATTTATTGGTATTTATTTTTGACTAATTATATACTTAAGGTAGAAAAGTTGACATTGATTTACCCTGCCACAAAGACATTCAACAGTATTGTCATACCAACAGCAATCCCTCCTAGGTCTCCAACCTGTGAAAAACAAATTTAATTAGCAATTTTACAAGACAATCCAAAAAGAAAAATAATTATATGTTCAAGAAAAATAGAAATAAAAATTGCAAATTTGCAAATTTGCGCATTTTCGTTCAATTATATACATACAAAGTTGGGATAGAATGACAAACCGCTCTATCATCAGTGTTAACGCCGGAAACGACGAACATGAGGAGGAAGGTGATGATGATTTCTATTACTAATGACTGCACATTTGATCCAACTGGTAGGGTTCCAAAATATGCCATAGGAGTTATATCAAACAGTAAGGCTAATGTGCCACTAGCAAGAATTGATCCAATTACTTGTGCAACAATGTATAATGGTACCTATAACCACCAAAACACTTACCTCATGAGCAAAGAAAAAGCATCCATACCCAATTTGGGCATTTCATTTATTTATTTTTCTTAAAATTATAACTATTATTAAAAATGATTATAATTAAATCAAGAATGATGTTGTTCTAAATATTTCCGTTATGTTTGGTTCAATATTTATCTTCGGATAATTGACTAGTTAAGAAATATCTCACCTCCCGAAAAGGAAACCGGCGAAAAATGGCAGAAGCAATAGTGACGGCCGGATTAAAATGTGCACCGGAGACATGACCAACGGTATAAATCATAACCATTACAATTAGACCCCAAGACACACATATGCCTGGAAATGTGACTGATCCATAGATTTTGTTCACAGCAACAGCTCCACAACCAGCAAATATTACAAAATAGGTTCCAATAACCTCAGCAACTAACTAAAAAATAAGATTATTAATCAGCTAATCTCATAATTAATAATTAATTAACTAATTAATTACCTTTTGTATGATGGTGACAAAACAAGTAGATGAGCGAGAGGCAGTATTGTCATTTGGATTATTAGGTTTACTAGATTTCACCACTAACCCTTTTTCTGTATTGGAAATCTGTGTTTCTTCTTCAATTATATCAGGCATTGTTAAAGCAAAGCTAGTAATTAAGAAGGGCTAATGTGAAGAATTAGTATAGAAGAAGAGGATCAGGACGGTTTGAGGGTTTTTGTTAATTAGGTTTTTGAGTTTGTATATATAAATGAGGTGGAGTTTGGATTTATTATTATGGATATGCAGTTGAGTTAATTTAGGGAGTTGTTGAAGATTTGGAGGCTTATCCATACTTTGATTTTTATTTTTGAACACAGTAGCTTAGTGAACGTGGAGATCTTTCTTAGAACGTGATGGCGCTACATTTTGTTAGTTAAATTTTATTTTTCAATTTCCGATTTTTTATTTTATTTTAAATTCGTATATATGTGTTTTTGTGCAGGCTAAAAATTTGTAATTATAAAAATGGCTGAAGCTATAAAGGGATCTATTTTGTGAAGAGATTTATTTGGTAAACGCCTTTTAAATCGATAGATGATTGTTGTCTACTATGATCGTCAAAGTGTCATTCATTTAACAAAAGATCAAATTATTCGTGAAAAGACGAAATATATTGATGTGAGGTACCATTTCGTTCATAATTTTATTTTTTTTAAAGTAACATTTCAATTAAAAAAGATTAGTATTGCAGATAATTCAATTTATATCATGACCAAATCTTTTTCAGCAAGCAGACTTAGTATTTCTCAAAATAATAATTAAGGCTCTTGGATGGGGAAGGTGGAAAAAATTCTATTAATTTTGAAAATTTCAATTCAAAGTGGGGATTTGTTAACATATGCCTTGAAGTTTTTTTTTTTTTTTTTTTTAATTAAAGCCCATAATTATTGTTGGCCAACTTAATTATCTTTTACATATGAAAAATGGCCATGCTTTAAGATTAATGATTTATTGTTTTTAGTATTAAAAAAGAGAATTCGAACCTGACTTTATACCGTAAATATATTTATCACTGAAGTATGTCTTAACGTGCCGATTTATAATTTTGTTAAACAAGCATTAATTAGAAAACTATATACCTGGAAGCAAGCACTAACTATCCTCTATCGAATAAAATCATTTAACAACACTTCTATCGGTTGTCAATCATATTGCCATGCAACGGTTTGACTCTTGGAGTACTATAAATATGTCATACTGTTCGTTGGTCATTGATGCAAGAGTCTAAATATGAAAAAGCAATTTGTGAAGCTAGAAAACTTTATTTTACATTTTATTTATACGCAGCGTTCATTTAAACTTTAGATATAAAATTAATTTCTCGAAAGTGAGCGTTTTTCTTTTTTATAAATAGAGAGCGTTTTATCTTTTTGTGGATCTATTCAACACAAATACGGATTAATCAAGTAAAAAAAAAAAAAAAAGCATGTGAAATTTGAATGAATAGAAACGAAAAAACAGTGGAGGCCGTCAAAAACATGATTAGGCATTTAGGATCAGCTTAATATAATATAATATAATTACTAACGACAAAGTGGTTGCAACGAATACCAGAAAGCCAAAATTGAAAGGTTGCTACAAAGAGTAGACTCCTTGGTTGGTACAAGGAATTTGAAAACTCCTTTCAACTCTTTGAATCTGAAATTTCTAAATTCTCATGATTCTTGCCTCCTAATTTCCAATTCTCCTACCAAACTTGCTAAAAATCATATTCTTAAAAAAAAAAAAAAAAAAAAAAACTCTTTGAATCTGAAATTTCAAATTCTTCTCATGATTCTTGCCTCCTAATTTAATTCTCTCTACCAAACTTGCTAAATCAATATTCTTAAAATAAAAAAAAAAAAAAAAAAAAAAGAATGATTCCTTATATTCTTTTATACCAAAACAAAGCAACCAGCCTAACTGCCCTACTAAAGAAAGCAGTAGTTGAGCCAAACAAAGCATTTGCAGAAACTAATAAAAGAAGCAAAGGGGAAAGAAAAAATTATTAAACACCATAATGATTATGACTTCATGCCCATAAATCTTGAAAAGAAGGCCAACCCATAACCAATTCCACTCACTAACACTGTCCTTATCAAGAAACTGCATAGTGAATTGAATTCCGACCCCTGGGACATAGCAGACCTTATGGTTCTGTTTCATGTATCAATAGAGATTTCCAGTCATAATGGTAAAGCAGAGCCAAAATATTTCAAAATTTTCTGCTGGTTCTGTGGACAACGGAAAATAAAATTAGTTTCAAGATCAACAAAATCAGGTGCATTTCATTTCGAAATCGAAGGAAACATAAGTGACAGGGAAGGTTTTACGAACTGTATAATATTTGTTACAATAGTTTCTTTACAAGCCAACTCTTTTTTTTTTTTTTTTTTTTTTTTTTTTTTTTTTTTTTTTTTTTTTTTTGGGTTTTTTTAACAAACTACATAGACTAATGATTTCTTTTTTTTTTTTTTTTTTTTTTTTTGGGTTTTTTACAACTACAGACTATGATTTCAGCTTCTGACACAACTTCAAGATTATTGTTGCTCACCAGTCACCTGATACCAACACTAGGGCCTGGACTGGCATTTTTCTTCACTATACTTTTTTTTTTCTTTTTCTGTTTTATAAAGGAAAGCCTTATCTCACAAAACCCAAATGACAAAAAAGATAAAAGGGAGAAAATTTGATACCCAAATAATCATTTTAGGGAAACTTCAGAAGTACAAGTGCCAATAGGCAGATCACTTGGTGTGCAAACCATAGCTCTTTGTTGTAAATGTCTCAAACTCTGTTCCATGCTAACTTGAACCATCTCAGCTAACATCTTTTTTGCTTTACTAGATTGTTCATCACCATCTATCTGCGAAATAATGTTGCACACAATATTTTGTAGTGTATCTGGTTGAAGTTCTGACCTTGGATATGGAGTCTCCCTCAGTAACTGCAATAGCGTGTGCGCTTTTATCTGAGATTTTGGCGTTCCTTGTACTGTAAGCTCAAGAAGACCGGGAATAACACCTTCTTGAAGAATTGGTTCTCTATATTTACACCTATCACTTTGACACATTGTCAATAAAGCCCCAACAGCATGTTCTCGACTTTGCACTGACCCGTTTTCAAGTACTTCAACAACGGCAAGAACTCCACCTTCCTCCAATGTCAATGCAGTTCTACCTTCATCGAAATCCACTAAGGATTCTATTAGAGCACAACATTTTTCAGCTATTTTTGAAGATTTTTTACATGTCTTCAACAAACTAACTAGAGAAGGCATCGGATTAGTTTCTTTAATAATGTTGAGATTATCCGGATGTGTTGAAAGATTAGAAAGAGCCATTACTGCGTCAAACTGAGCTTGTAAACTTCCATATCTAAGGATTTCCACTAATAGAGGAATGGCACCAGAAGCACTTATAATCGGCTTGTTAACAGCAGATGCTGATAGAGTAAGCAAAGATGCTGTTGCATATTCCTGCAAGTTTAAATTATCTGATTGCAGAAAGCCAATTATCGGTTCCAAGGCTCCAGCTTCAACAATGCTCTTTTTATTCCTGCAAAATATATTCATGTGTATAAGAAGTCTTGGCAAAACAGAGTGCATGTACAGTAAAAATCATCAAAATAGCCCCCATTACAAAATTATTACAGACAAAGAATATGTTAATTAAATAACACTAATAGCGAGCGAAAATCAACAAAAGAACAGAACAACATCCAATTATGCCACATAATTTCTACAGCCACAAGAGAATGTGTGCTATATAAAAGCAAAAAGTTCTATCATCTAAAGGTTAAAGAGTTTTCTCTCAGCACTATAATTGGATTGATTTCCCCACAATCAAAATGTTCATTGAATTGTCGAATGGAAAAAACGGGTGTTAAAATAAAAACAAAAAGTTTTGCTATTTTAAGAATAAAGGCTTTATGACAGCAGCATTATTGAATTGGTTTTCCCACTATCAAACTATTAGGTGAATTGAGAAATATGGAAAGAAAATGTGAGGTAAAAAATATAATTACAGAATATTTTTCTTGGTAAATAATAACTTTTCCATGGAAAAGAAAGACCAAGAAAAGAAAAGAAAGAAACTTTCATCCTCACCAAACTGATCTCATTGTTATTGTGATAACTTCAAAGAAAAGATAAGGAGAAAAGAAAAATTAAAAAGACATAAAATTGACAAAAAGAAAGAGTAACCTGTGAAGCAAAGAACAACCACCGCCCGCCAATCAAACGAATTTCAACTTTCAACTAAAAAAGCATCCAATTCTTTCTTTATAAACACTAATTAAGCTCATTTGTGAAAAAAGCACCGACACAAAAATATCATGCCAAAAAGAAATAATATATGGTATTTATTTAACCAAAACGTGATTCAGGTCATCTAGCAATATATAAAACAATCCTTCTGTTTGGATGCCCACAAAATGAAGAAAAAGGAAAATAAAAGAAAAATTAACATGAAACTTGGAATCCCTTTTTCTGGAATTTCATTTTCCAATAAAGGCACTTGGACATATAATTAAAGCCATGTAATTAGAAGTAAAAGAAAAAAGTTACTACGAAGATTAGAATTGAGTAAAGAATAGATTCCGAAGAATATATTCTCTTTTTTCAATACCCATATTGAGGAATCCGAGGAAAAATAATATATTAAGAAGAAACAAAGCAAAAAGTTAGTCTAAACTGAAATACAGTTGAGTTGCATCTCAAGCAAAGAACAACTTTCCTTTTAAAATTCGAAAACATAAAATATCTCAGTTTAAAAAATCGGGAAATCTCAAATAATACACATAAAAGCACATATGAACTTAAATAATTCCCAGGACTTGAACAAATAAAAATGGAAAACGAAGATGAAATTAAATTAAAAATTCATAAAAATTTTCAAAAAACAAGGCCAAGAATAACTTAAAGAGAAACAGAGAAAATGCATACTTCTCGTCTTGAACAGCAAGATTGAGAAGGGCGAGGAGAGCGGACTCATGGCACTCAGTTGAGTCGACAATTCGAAGCATAGAAACAAGCGGATTAACAGCTTGAGCTAATTGGCGGCGACACCGCTGAGAGGTCTTAGTGAGGCGGCGGATTTCTTTAGCAGCTTCAATCTTGGAATCAAGGTCGTCAGATTGGATGAGCCACAGAGCTCGTTGTACGGAAGAGATGGCAGCTCGAGGCGTACCGGTATCGGGGGAAGAAAAGCCCTGGTTCTCTGTGCAAGAATCCATTCAAAAGAAAAAAAATAAAAAGAAGAAAAAGAAGAAAAAGAAGAAGAGAAGATGAAGGAGGAGGAGGAGGAAAGTACTATCGTGTATGTGTCCGGGCAAGAGAGAGAAAAAATCTGCGAGAATTTATGCAAGAGAAAGAAGAGAGAGAGAGAAGAAACGTATGGTTGCGGTGGTAGTGATGGGAGAGGCGTTAAGCAACGGTTAAAAATAGTAAGTTAAAGATGGGAGCTAGGGAGGAGTCGTGTGTGGGGTGTGCTTTGCTTTTTTTATTTTATTTTATTTTTGCTTTCTAGAGACTAGAGAGGGTAGTTTGGCTTTCCAATATAAGCAAGCAAATATAGGATGGTAGTTGATGTTGGCAGCATGGTCTCTTTAGTTGTTTTTATTTTTTTTATTTTTTTTTTAGTTTGGTAAATTCTTCTTTGAGGTTTTATGTTTTCTTTTTCTTTTTTTTTCTTTTTACTATTTTATTATTGAACTTTATCAAAATATATGACTTTGCTCTTGTATTTTTTTTAAATACATAATTTTATTCTTATTTTTTGATTGCACTATGTTGTTATATTATTCTGTATTTCGTAAAATACAAAACAACAAAAAAAAAAAAAAAAAAAACAATGTGTCTTATTATTAAAAATCAAAATAATTTATTTAAAAAAAATAATTATTTGCACAAAATACTAAAATTAATATTAGTCAAACAAAAAAAAAAGAAGAAGCGGACGATGTTAGATACTTTTATTTAAAAATAATATTGACGAAAAATATAAATATTTTTATAATTTTTTGTTTGATTTGGTGAGAAAATAAGTTAATAACACTTTTATGTATATGTTATTATGTTATGTTTATTAATATTTTTTCTTTTTGAGGGGATATTTAATAATAGTTTTTGACTCAATTAGAAATTGTAATGAAATAATCCTGAAAATATCAAGAGTGGTACCATAGCTAATGGCAAATTAGTGAACACAAATTATATCAATTACCATTTTATAATACAAAAAAAAAAAATTTTTTTTTTTTTTTTTTTTTTTTTTGAGAGCTCTTGTTTTTAATTTGTTGTTTTAACTTTTAGATATTTTCTTAATTGATTATAAAATCCTAACTTGTGCTTCAAATATTAAATGGTAACTTCACAATATTTATTTTGGTCTTTGTTGGTTCATTGAAATAGCAGTTTTAATACAGTGAATTAATTATTTTGAAACAACGAGACCTTAAATAAAGATTCTAATTCCGAAGCTATCATATCAATTTTCGTTCATTTGTTCATTTCAAATTGCAATGCATGCTGATGAGATTCAATTTCTAAAAATGGCTACGTCTTTCTATTAAAAGAACCAGCTTCAATCCTAATTTCAATTCGGTTTAAAAATGAAAATCTTAAATGTATTCCCATACGACTCTACTGCAAATTGCTACCCTTGTTGAAAGAAGAACCCCTAACTTCTTTTCCAAATTTAATATAATTTTTTTTTACAACAGAAGTATATTTGAAGGAAGTAAGAATCCTTTATATTTACATTATTTTTTTACCAATAATATATTGGTTGGGATAGTAAGCCGTTTTTAATTTCTGCATTCGTCTTTGAGAAGAGGGATAAATTCCTTCATGGATAATCAATCATTGAACTACTTAGCCAATAACAATTTAAAATTAACTTTAAAGCTTATCAAATTAACATATATTAGTTTACAAATTTATCACAATCTTTATTATATTGCTTAGATTTTTTTTTTTTTTGGAGTATTAAAAGAGGAGGATTCGAATCTATATATATTATCAGGTCGTATATGCACTTAATATTAGATTATATCTTGGTAGTACATGCACCCATTAATTTGTTTCGTCAATGTGCATGATCATTGAAGACAGAGAAGTGCGTGGGATATCAAATTCTTCCTTTTCCCTTCTGTGTTTCTTCTTCTCCATGAAAAACGCCCCTCTCTCTCCTCTTCATGGGCAACTGAAAAGTCACAGGCAAAGAGATAGCTTCCTTGACCATGTCCACGGCGATGATGACTTGCCTATGCAATCTCTATATAAAATATACCTCGTTTGCTTTCCAACTTTGGTTTAAATATAACTTAGGATCTCATCAAGAGATGTGGGGTTTGTGGTGATATCTGAACTTTCAGCAAACATAAGTTTTCTATATTTATTAATTTAGCATTTAAAGTTATTTGGGTGGATGACTTATGCGTAGAGATGGAGGCGGGGCAGATACCCGCAAAATTTAAGCTACTCATATCCATATCTATTTAGAATTTTACTATTTGTATCCATTTAAATATCCATTACCCAAATCCATTTAAATTTTTACCATCCATACCCGTTATAAACCCGTTTAAAATAACCTTATACGGGTAGGATATCCGCGAATTTTAACTATCCAAATCCAAACTTATTTAAAATACAATCTTTATCAATAGTGGACAGGATACCCGTGGGGTACCCAATAGTGGGTAGTGGATATCCAAAGATCTATATCTATACCTTACCCATATTCATTATAAGTAGTAATTTCACTAGTTGTAACTGTCTCAAACCCATTTATAACTACTCTATCTTATTTAAATGGATTGGAATGTGGCGGGTACCTTAAAATACTCCCGCACTGCTTCCATCCCTATGTTATGCGTTTAATATGGGTATTGATTAGAGGTTGAGGGTTTGGTTTGGTTTGGTAAGGTTAAACTCTAGCCATTTGTGATTTAATTTTCATGAGAGAAAATTTGGAAAAATAAAAGCAAAATTATTGTTGACATTATTGTTTTGATTCTTGAATATAAAATAGTGAATGAAGAATTATGTAATTAATTTCTTATCTTAATTTTCTAATGTGATCTCTGATTTAAATAAATTCCATCTTGAGATTTCAACAATTTATATTCAAACTAACCTTTTCTTGATTTTTAAGAGCTATTTTCATTTTTTCTTTATAGATTGACATATATGAATGAGCCCTCTTATAACTTATTCCCACCCAATATCATGCTTTCAAGTCATCATGAAGCATATTCATTACGAAAGTTTAGGAATGAAACGTGGAGTTATGAAAGCAGCCATTTTTAAATAGAGAAATATCCAAATACATATATTATTCTTTTCAATGATCTATATTTGTAGCAATGAAATACTATTCTTCCTCCCCCAAACGTTAATGGTCGATTAAGAGGAACATTCAGCTTTTTTTTTTTTTTTCTTTGACCGCATGAACCACACGACATATTTCCGGTCCATTTGATAGAAAAATGAACAAATATGACTAATTTGGAGTGTAATTTGTAAAAAAAAAAAAAAAAAATCATTTTGGGGCTTTTTGTACATTGAACGAGTTAGAGAGTAAAATGAGACTTTTTTTTTTAATTTTATTTTAGTTCTAGCTCCATCAATCATTGATGAAAGAGAACTGGATTGAATCGGTTGACCCGTGATTGAACCGGCCACAAAATCGATTGATCCAAACAGATTTCTTAGTATTTTTAATTATTTATTATTATATTATAATTATCTTAAATTATAATTATTTAATTAATATATATTATTAATATTTTCATGACCACTAATTAAGCATTAACCCACCGGTTAAACCAACGATCAATCCATTCAGTTTTTTATCTGGTTAATGTCTGAGCAGGGTTTAATAACACTGCATCAATGCCTAAAATAATTAACAATTAATTCTATATTAAAATTCACTCAAAGTCATTATTAAAAAATAAATTGAAAAATTTTAGTAAGATTTTATAATAAAAATTACCATATTATTGATATTATTTCAATTTCAAGTCCATTAACATTAAATAATTAATAATTAATACTATTTTTGTGTGTATTCTCTTCAAATTATGAAATAACCAATTAAAGGTAAGATCAAACCTAAAGCCAAATGTATAATAAAGGTATGATCATAATTTTTTTTCCTAGATCCGCCTTTGGTTGCGCTTACTTTCAACACAGCCTAAGCCATTTTAATTAGTTCACCTTTCTCATTTATATACCACTTAGTATTAGGTGTATTTATTCAATATGGGATTACCCATACACTTCATCAGCAGTATCGTAACAGAAATAGTAAATGATGCTACCTTCCTTTGACACTCTAATCATCTTCGTAAATTTCCCTTCCATCTTTAATAAACTCATAAATGGATGGATAAACTGACCATCTTACCAAATATCTAATCTATATTTTATGACATAGGTAACGTGTAAAATCAAATTAGATTAGGAATGGAGAAATCCAACCCCCTTTTGTATAAATAGTTTTTTATTATAAATATTTCAATTTAATAATTGATTTACATAGTATAAATAAATTGAATTAATTTGGCTTAATCTCTTATATATATATATATTTTTTGAACAAAGAATAAACTTGATGAAATCAAATCTAAATTACAAGATCTAGAAAAAGATACAAAACCATAAGAAAAATCACCAAACTCAAAATAGAAGAGCAATGAAAGGAAAAAGCTCATAGGTGTCACCTATTTATTACCGCTATCATGATTTAGAGATTGAATCTTGGGAGGAAGTCTTGAAAGCCAAATTAGAGTGAGTTGCCAGAAAAGAAAAGATTGTCTAAGCAATCTACTAATAAATGCAGAGAGAAATTTTCCAAATTGCTAATTTTTCATGGACCCTCATGGCCTTTTAAAGTGAAATACTGGAACTCCATATGAAAATATATAAACAAGAATTCCTTAAGCGGCCACATGCATAGAATTGCACAAAGAAAGAGTAGGTCCATAAATCTATCTTGGTAAAAATGGATGAGACCATGGATTAAGCCAAGCCCTGAAGGGTGGGAAAAGCTACAAAAACAAGGAAAAAGAATGGAAAGAAAAAAAGAAGACAAAAAGATATTCCCTTTGTCTTAAAATATAAGTCGTTTAAAGTTTTTGCACAAGGATTAAAGAAGCAATTAACTCTACTAAATTATAACAAACTCAAAAGTAATTTAACCAAATTATCCTTTATCTCAAAATCAATAGTTATTTGTGAAGTATTTATTATATTTAGTGTAAAAGGGCAACATTGGAAAAATATCATTTATTATTTCTTGAAATACACAAAATGACTTATATTTTGTGATAAAATAACAAATCAAAAACGACTTATATTTTGGAATAAATGGAGTAGCTATTATACCATGTCCCAAAAAGATCGTCACATTTTCTTTTTTATAAATTTTAAGAAAATGCAATCAATGCTGTGATAGTTTATATTTTTCATTTTTTTTA